TGTGAAATGCCAGGGCAGGGCCCCAAGGGGAAAGGGAAGACTGAGGAATGCAAGCAAGATGCTCCCCACTTCCCTGTGGCTGTCAGGTTCTCTGAAAGACCTCTTCCAAACATTTTAAAGATCTGTTGTCACTTTTCTCTCTTTCAGTTTGTGTTTGTAAAAGTGGCCAGTGACATTTAGCTGATGGATCGAATAATGCTGTTGGACAAGGGAAGGGGGAAAGCCTTGAATTTGCCAGCCCCCAAGGCTGAGTATTTTACCTCTGTGTGATTTGGCAAATCTTCCAGTCGTCTGGGTGCTAGTCATTTTTTTCCTCCATAACTCAGCCCCTGGCAGCATAGCTCAGGGCTCCGTGGATTTCTCCCAGATAGGGGAGGTGGGAAGAAATTAGTTTCCCACACACTGTAAAACCTAAGAATTCCCACTATGCACCAGCGGGGAGGAAATAAAGGGTAAAAAATACCTGGGGTAGTAAGAGACCATCCATCGTTGCTGTGTGCTTTTCAGAGCAGGGACCCTATTCGACCCACGGCCCAGTGCCTCAGTAGATCTGGAGGATAAAAATGCAATAGAGTGAGAACCAGGTCCCGACACTTTCTCTTACACAATGGGCTTGTTCCCTGGATGCCAGGTAACATGGTACAGCAGGAGAGAAGTAGATTAGACTTGAATGAGGACTTCCTTCCTGTGGGACTTGGAGTCTTGGCAGTGCCTCAGTCCTGCCTCTCTCACAGTTGGTATCCAGTCAGTTACCACATGTTATGGTTTGAATTATGTGCCCCAGAAAGATACGTGGAGGTCCTAACCTCTGGTACCCTCTTTTAGAAAGAGGGTCTTTGCAGATGTAATCAACTTAGGAAGAGGTCATCAGGTAGACCCTAATTCAGTATGCTGGGTCCTTATAAGAAGAGGAGAGAGACATAGAGGAGAAAGTCTTGTGATAACAGAGCCAAGATCAAGAAACAATGGCCAAGGAACGCCAAGGATTGCTAGTAATACCAGGAGCGGCGACGAAGGTGTGGAACACTTGGGGAGAGCAGACTTTGGACCTGTGTCCTCCAGACCATTTTCTGGGGCTGCCTACCAAACTAGGTTGTTGGAAACCATGAAAATTTATTCTCTCGGTTCTGGAGGCTGGAAGTCCAAAAATCAAAGTGTTGGCAGGGTCAGTCAGTTCCTTCTGGAGTCGCTGAGGGAGAACCGGTTCCAGTCCCCTGTTCTACCTCTGGTGGTGGCCGGCCATCCTTGATGGCAGATGCATCACTTGAGTCTCTGCCTCTGTCTTCGCAGGGACTTCTCTGTGTGTGTCTCTCTGTGCTGTCTCCTCTTCTTAAAAGGACTCCGGTCGTTAGTCAACCCCAATCCAGTTGACTTCACCTTAAGTTGATTCCTTCTGCAAAGACCCTGTTTCTAAATAAGGTCAAGTTCCGAAGTTCTGGATGGACATGAATTTCAGAGAGCACTACTCAACCTAGGACACCACACCCCATCAGTTCTTCCTGTCTACCTCTTGAATCTGAGCAGTGTGTGGGACCCCATCAGTTCTTCCTGTCTACCTCTTGAATCTGAGCACTCTCTCCACTTCTGCCGCCTCCCTGATCCCGGCATCGCTGCTTTGACGGTCCTGGTAGCTTCTCCTTGGGCTCCCTCTCCAGCTCGTTTCTCACACAGCAGCTCAGACGAACCTTTGAAAAAGGCGAAATAGAACGTGTCACTCCCTCCCCACTGCCCTTAGGGTAAACCCCACCCCCCCATCACCTGACTGGGATGACAGTCACACAGAGACAAGAGCCTGTACGTGGACCCTTAGGTCCCCCTGTGAGCTCCGCCCACTCCAGACTCCTCCCTGGAAAGTGCCAGCGCCATACCAGGGGTTTCACATCCATAGACTCTGATTCTAGCAGCAGCTCTGCAGGAGAGGCCCCACGGCTGCCCCCATTTTACAGATGGGAAAACTAAGAGTCCAAGAGGAGAAAAAGTAGTCACATGTTGCTTTTGGTCCTGTGGAAGCAGGCAGATGCCAGAACGGCGTTAAATAGGCAAGAGGTTTATTGCGGGGAGGGACGCTGTGTAGGATGAAGGAGAAGGAGAGGAGGAGGTGCCGAGAGCCTTTAGATGGCAATGTGGTCTGAACCTGGGGTGAGGGGAAGAAGCTTGGCGGGAAGACCCTCGGACTGCAGTGCAGCTCTGAGCAGGTCTCGGCTGGACTGACAGGCAACGCCAAAGAAGGTGTACCAGTTTGCTCAAGCTGCTCTGACCAGACCACAGAGCAGGTGGCCTAAGCAACAGACATTTATTTCTCACAGTTCTGGAGGTTGAAAGTCCAAGATCAAGGTGCCAGCAGGCTGGTTTCTGGTGAGAGCTCTCCTCCCAGCTTGCAGGTGGCTGCCTTTGCTGTCTGCACGGGGCCTTTCCTGTGTGCACATGCAGAGAGAGTTCTGGTGTCTTCCTGTTCATATAAGGGCACTGGTCCTATAGGATTCAAGGCCCTTTTATCCAGATGCGGCTGGATCAGGGGGTTAGGGCTCTACTACATGGATTTGGAGAGACACAGTTCAGTCCATGATACAAGGTTTGCCCGTCCCAGCATCATCAGGAGCAGCCCCACTCTAGCCCCACTCTGCACCCCCTGTCATGCTTCGTTGGGCTGGGAGCAGCCCCAGGCAGGTGTGGCCTGAGCTGACACTACAGTAGATCAGAAGAGTCTCCGTGGCTGCCACAAATCTTCATAATAAGCGGAAGGGCAACACTCACTCAGAGTCTGCTGGGTGCCAGGCACCGTTATAGGGCTCGGCATCTCGTGGGAGCCCTGCACAGCCCATACGCAGTAGGCCTGCTGTCCCCGTTTTACCACTGGGGAAACTGAGACACAGAAAACCTAAGCGGCTGTCTCTGGAGATGTCACAGCAGGAAACACTCTCCGTGTCCCAGCCTGGCCCCCTCCCACTTTGTCTCAGGGTGGCTTGGGAATTCACAACATTCGTACTTCTTGGGTCAGGCTAGCCTGTGAAGGTGTCTAGTATAAACTTTCTGCCACACATCCCAGCTCTACGGGATAGCTGCACAGCCAAAAGCACTCACTTTGACAGGATCCCACCCCTATCTGATTGACATCCAGGGTTAATATACTTGTAATAGGAATTTGAGTGGAGAGCCCAGAGAGGTCTGGTGCTCTGTCCAAGGCCACACAGCAAGCCAATGGCAAGGCAAAGAACAGAACCATCAGTCTAATGCTCCTAGCCTAATAGTAAAAAATCCCCATGCCCTGCCTCAAAGCAGCTTGGCCTACTGCAAAGAATCACCTGGCACCCTGAGTTCAAGTCCCACCTCTGCCACTTTTGAGCTAGGTGACCTTGAGCACATGACATCTCTTCTCTGGGCCTTCATTTTCTTGTCCAGAAAATGGGGAATAGCAACATCTTCCTTCCTGGGCCTCAGGAAGGCCCCATTTTACAGATGAGAAAATGGAGGCTCTGGGAGGTTAACTAACTGTCCAGAGTTATTAGCCAGTTTGGAGCCAGACCTGGCACCAGCAGCCCTTGGAACATATTGCCTCTGCTGGTATCTTTGTTTATCTTCCCGGTAATAATTCTTGGGAATTAGGAACTGTTGTAGTTCTCCCACTGTATTAGAGGGAAAATGAGGTTCATGGCTCTTTGGGAGTAGGATTTGGATCCAGAGCTGGGCTTCAGCTTCTGTGAGCTTAACCACTATGTTCTACCCTGTAGCAGCAAATGAAGGTGAAAAACAGGAACCTTAGAATCGCTGAACCTCTATTAAGCAGGGATCCGGCCAACCCTGCTCCTCCAGCCTCTCAGGGGCCCACCTGAGGGCAGCTCCCCCTGGACAGAGGGCACAAGGCAGCCACAGGGCCTCCGAGCAGAGTGAAGGAGGGAAGCATCAATCCCTGATCCCTGGAAATGGGGTGGATGATACCCTTTATCACCCAAGTGTAATCATTTGGCTTAGACGGGCTTGTGGCCAGCCAGCCCCCAAGCCATGAGCTAGATCTTTTCCACCTCCTTGGAACCAGAGTGAGCCCTCTGTGGCCCACTCAGAGCTGCCCCCTCCCGTGTTTATCTAACTTCCCTGACCCTGGCAAGTGCTCATGGCCTTTCTCTTCTTTCTGAAAAACCAGGACACAATAGGAAGCATTTCCTTGAACTTATTAAAAAATCCAGACTTGTAAATTAATTTGTCCGTGTTGTACAAAGGCAGTGCAGATGGACTCATTAGCATGCACACAACAAATAATTATAGATGAATTTTTAGCTGGCCTGCCTAATGCGCTTGCTGGGTTAATTATGTCAATGTATAATTACATCAGCCCGGGGAGACATAATGGCATACCCCGCTGAGCAGGCCCTGCCTAATGACGGGGCGTAGGGGGAGTGCTGACAGGGGAAAGACGGCAGCGTTCTCGCGCACCTGCTTACCTCGGCACAAATGCCCATTGTCAGAGCCTCCCGCCACCTAAACAGACAGGAGGAGAGGGGTAAAATGCAGAGGCGACCTTGTTCCAGCCGGACCTGAAGGCTCCTGTGTGTAGGCACTGCCCCATTTCTTCCCTCAGCAGATGTTTGTTGGGTCAGATTGTGTGTTGGACTTCATTCACCCACCAGGGGTCCAGTGGGGAGTGAGAACAGACGCGGTCCCAGCCCTGCCTTGTGGAGTTGGCAGTCCAGTGGGTGTTAATTAGGTAGACTTGCAAATCAGTGAAAATTGTAAGTACAGTGAGTGCTCTAAAGGAAAGGTGCAGGGAGCTGGGAGAGCTCAGGTGGAGGAATGACTGACTGGTCAAGGCAGGCTTCCTGGAAGAAGTGGCATTTGAGTTGCAGTATGGAAGGTGATTAAGCATGAACTAGCTGAAAGAGGTTAAAGGAGAAGGCAGGGTGTTCCTGTAGGGGAACCCACCAGGCCCTGCGGCCTCAGCCTAGGCAGCCCTCAACCCTCAGGGCTCCCCCCCACCCACTCCTGGGCTCTTCTCTCTGTGTATGCAGACCCCGTGCCTGTGTTTGAAGCGACACGCAGCCTAGACGACAGACTGCAGCCCCCCAGCTTCGACTCCACTGGGCAGCCGCGGCGAGACCTCCACACTTCGTGGAAGAGGCACCCTGAGCTCCTGGGCCCCAAAGGTACTGATAAGGCCTTCATGGGATGTCCCTAATAAACAAATGGGCTGTGGATCTTCAGCAGCCTGGCTTGGCCATCTTTGGAGGGATGGGGGTAGGGACGCCTAGGAGCTTGACTTTATCATTTTCCAGGTAGGGTGGGTTATGGTACACCACTGCTGAAACAACCCAATCCCAAATCGCAGAAGCGTAATATATTTAAAGGGTGGGAGGTTGGAGGAGACACTCCATGTGGTCACTCACACAGCCAAGCTATGGTGATCCTGCCATCTTCAACACTTGACATCCCGAGTCACAGTGACTGTTACAACCAGCCAACGGGAAGAGAAAAACTGCAGAGGATCATACCGCGGTTTATGGGTCCAGGCTCAGACTTGGCACACAGCACCCCCAGCCACATCCTGGTGACCCAAACTCCGTCATGGGGCCCCGCCCAGCCACAGGGGAGCCGGGAAGGGCAGACTGACTGTGTGCCCCACAGGGGAGGGAAACCGGATGTGGGGAACACAGCACTGTCCTGGCATCGAGCGAGGCAAGTCAAGAAACTGGGAGAGCTAAAAATAGAGTTCAGATATACATATATGTGATTAAAAATGTTTAAAAGCAGGAGAATGATGAACAGAAGCGAGCATGGTGGTTACCCGTGGCAGGTGAAGGAGGAGGTCTCTGGGGAGGAGAAATGCGGCCATGAAAGCTCTCGGTGACCATCTGAGTCTTGGGTGTTGGTTGAGCTTCAAGCCAGACACTGTCATAGGCTCCGGTGACATAGCTGGGAGCAAATAAGGCCCAAATCCCTGCCCTCGTGGCTCTGACCTTCTAGAATGTAAGGCTGACTGTCAACCAATAAATATACAGCACTTCCAGTGTAAGAAAGGCTTTGGGGGCAAATGAAGCAGGGAGGAGGGGACCAGACTAAGGAATAAATGAGAATTTACCTCAAAGTTCAGCAAATTTACCTTTTTTTTTTTTTCTTTTTTTTGTAAAGGGCCAGAGAGTACATACTTCAGGCTTTGCAGGCCACATATTTTCTGTCACAACTACTCAACTGTGTGGAAAAAAAAAAGCCATAGAACTTGGGTAAATGAGTGGGTGTGGCTGTGTTCCAATAAAACTTTATAGGCAAAACAGGAGGTGGGCCAGATTTGGCCCAAGGGCTGTCATCGCAGACCCCGAGTCGAGTCTACCTCCTGGAGTCATGGAGATCATGGGCTGAGGCCCGCCAAGTCGGTCTGACTGCTCCAGTGCACTCCCCATCTCACAGCCCCCTCCCTTCCTTCCAGTCCCTAGTGAGCACCTACTGTATGTATGCCTGGTCCTTGGCAGAGTCCTCTGGGGAAGATTAATGGTGACTAAAATACAGCACTTTGCCGGCTCTGTTCCTGTACCCAGAATGCCTTTCCAGCCTCCCTGACAAACCAGCTCATACGGCGATGGCTCTGTGCGGCCTCTGAGGTCCCTCTAGGGTTTGAATTTCCCTCTATCAGAATAATGACGCTTGTGGGAACTGCCTCTTGAGAGCATTTACTCTGTGCCATGTGCCTTTCACACGGTTTCCCACTGTCTCCTCTTGTCAACTTGGGGTGTCACTGGCCCCGTTTGACAAACGGGTTAACAGTCTCAGAGGCAGCAAGCAGTCAAGCAGGGATTCAAACCAAGGGCTCTTGACCTTGGCCCTGGGCTGTGTTTCTCCCTGAGAACACTTGTTGCTGTGCCTCACGATGGTCAAACCCCGTTTGTTCACTGCTGTGTCCTCAGCCCCTGGAACGTCCTATGTGGCCTGCAAAGCCGTGTGTGTGTGTGTGTGTGTGTGTGTGTGTGTGAACAAGCCAGGGCCTGAAAACTGTCGGGCCCTCAAGGGAGGCAAACTGCCCAGCTCTGCACTCAGCAGAGGAGCCTAACAACCAGGACAGAGCTTAAAGGAGTCAGTCGGACCCAAGGCCGGAAGCCCAGATTTTGGGATTCTTGAGACACCCTTGATGGCCTGTCCCTGAGCACCCTTTCTCCCCATGACGAATTGAGTGCCCAGGGCATACACACTGATTCCCTGAAGCAGCCACCACGGGCCTGCAAAGCGAGACCTGATGTGGGCCCTGTGCAGGCGTTCCTGCAGGTGCAGTGGGCTGTGACCGAGCCTCTGAGTGTACACCGTCAGCTGTGGGGAGGGGAAGTTAAACCCACAGCTACCCCATGGCCCAGCACTTTCACTCCTAGGTGTCTACTCCAGAGAACTGAGAACAGGTGCTCAAACACGTGTACACACATGTTCGCAATAGCCCTATTCACAGCCGCCGAAGGTGGAAACACGCCAGATGTCTATTGGCAGATGAATGGGAAAACAAAATGTGGCCTGTCCATGAAATGGAATATTAGTGAACCATAAAAATGAATGATGGTCTGATCCATGCTATAACCTGGATGAACCTCGAAAACATTTTGCTAAGTAAAAGAAGCCGGACGCGGAAGGACATATATTATGTGTGATTTCGGTGATAGAAAATATCCAGGATATGAAAGTCCCCAGAGACAGAAAGCGGATTGGTGATTGCCAAGGGTTGGGGGAGAGGAAAAGGAGTGACTGCTTAGTGGGGACGGGCTTCCTTTTGATGACATTCTGGAATTAGTGCTCACAGTTGCACAATACTAAATGTCACTGAATTGTATACTTTTATGCATATTTTACCATCACCCTTAAAAAAGTAAAAAGGCCGAGGAGGCAGGAACTGGTCCAAGAGGGTAAAGGAAGCTTCTGGGCGTGCTGGCTGAGGCTGGCACACTGGAACTTGACATTCATTCACACACGCCCCCCAGGGCAACAACCCAGCTCATCATGGTGATGGCAGGTCTTTCCAGCTACACTCTCTCCATCACCTGAGTTTGGAAAACTGAGTCCCAGCCCTCCCAGTCCCTCCGATTTGCAGAACACAGCTCTGGCTGCCGTGCCACTTCCAGCGATGGGTGGTTTTCCCTCTTTTTTCCCTCCAGAGCAGAGAGAGGGGACGTCTCCGGCGGGGCCCACGCTGACTGAGGGGAGCCGCCTCCCGGGCATTCCCAGCAAAGCCCTCCTGACAGAAACTTTGCTGCAGAGAAATGAGGCGGAGAAACAAAAGTGAGTGGGGAGGAGCAGGTGGGCCGCCCACCTGGCTGGGAGGTGGGACTATCAGGGAATCCAGATGTAGGTTGGAGGTGGAGATGCAGGCCTGGCCCATTTCAGCAGCTCAACAGCCAGCCCTGGGCAGCTCACATCACCTGTCTGAGCTTCAGTTTCCCCAGCCGGAAAGTGGGGCTAATGGTGGTGTATTAGTCAGGATTCCCCAGAGGGGGAAAGAAAAAAAAGAAATTTTTCTATTTTAATTAAGACATGTGTTTTAAAGACTTAGTTCACGCTGGTCGGACAAGTCTGAATCGGTAGAGCCAGCCAGCAGGCTGGAAACTGTCAGGCAGGAGTCAGTGCTGCAATCTTGAGAGGAATTTCTTCTTCCTTAGTTTTATTCTTAAGCTCTGCAACTGATTAGGCAAGGCCCACCCACATTATTGAGATTATTCTCCTTTACTTAATGTCAGCTGACTGTAGATGTTAACCCTAACTACAGAATACCTTCACAGCAACCCCAAGTTTAGTGTGTGGTTGAATAACTGGATACTGTAGCTTGATCAGGTGGACAGGTGCTATCAACACCTAATCTGCTGTGAGAGTGAATGCATGTGCTTAGCCCGGCACTCACTTGGAGGAGTGTGTCAGTAAATGGTTGCCCTTACAGTTGTTGTGGGAATAATAATACCTGCTTATTATACATCTGGATCCTTGGGGCATTTCTAGACCAGCTTCATGGTGGTCATTACATGTATCCTTTCATTCACTTCTTCGTTCGTTTGTCCCATGTATTTATGGAGCCACCTGCTGTGTGCCAAGCACTGTGTCTAGGGACACAGCAGTGAACAAAGGGACAAACCTCCTACTCTCCTGGAGTTTACTTTCTCATGAGGAAGACACAAATAAACCAGATAAATAAATGGTCTGCTACGTGATGATAAGGGTTGTGAAGGAAAATAAAGGGGGGGAGGGGATGAGATTGAAGCCGAAGTTTTAAATAGGGTATGAGGGGAGGCCTCACTGAGGAGGTGAGCAAAGCCCTAAGAAGGTGAGGGAGGGGAACTTGCAGATATATAGGGGAAGTGTGTTACAGACAGAGGGGACAGCCAATGCAAAGGCCCGGAGGTAGAAATATGCCTGGTGCATTTGACCAGCAAGGAGGTGGTGTGATTGGAGGAGTGTGAGAGAGGGGAAGGGACAGGATATAGGACCAGAGGTAAAGGGGCTCCTTCCCTAGAGTCTCTGAGCCAGACAACATAAGGTCCAGGCTTTGTATAAACCCTCTCCCAGTCTAGCTGGGGCCCCTCTGTCTCTGCTGAGACACGTGCGTCACACCAAAACTCTAGGCTGCAGTGGGCTGGGCGACTATCCCAAATGACTGACCCAGAAACGGGAAAAAAATGCCTCCCTGGGCACAGGAATAGTAAGTAATGGTACTGAGGGAGTCCTGGGAACCAGCATCACGCTTAAGATTTTCACAGCACCCATGGAGGCAAAGACCAGCAGGAACCTTATTTTACAGATGAGGAAATTGATGCCCGGAGAGACAAAGTCACTGACTGATACAGGTCCACACAGTTAGCAAAAAGCAAGGCAGCCAAGTGCCTGAAGGTTTAAGGACCGAGTAACAAGGCAGTGGTACATGTGATTACAGAGAGCAGGTGAGAGGAGTAGAAAGCTAGGAGGGCCCACTCGGGGACCCAGGCAAGGCCCATGCACATGGGCGTGTGCAGAGCCAGTGTGAGCAGGCCCGGTCTCTCTGCAGGGGCCTTCAAGAAGTACAAATCACTTTGGCAGCCAGACTGGGGGAGGCAGAGGAAAAGATCAAAGTCCTACATTCAGGTATGTATCTGGCACGCATTCCCTGGCCCCGTGCAGCTCCCCAGCCCAGTCAGACCAGGAGGGGGAGTGGGAGGGGACAGTCAGTGACACTGTGAACTCAGGCTCAGGTATTTTGGAATCAGGAAGGCAAGGGGGGAGTTTGCGGAGGAAGGGGATAGTTCAGCATTACCCAGTGGGGGTCTGAACCCAGTCTCCAGAGGCCACATTGCTGTGGAGAGAGGGTTTGAGAAATAGAATTAAATCAGGAGTAACACAGCGCCTGCAGGGGCCAGACACACAACCATGCCAGCCAGGTTAGGGAAGGCACTAAGGCAGGGTGGGGTCCAGGGCAAACTGGACCACTTGGGCCTTGGCTAAAGAAATGGCCACTGTGAGCACCAGCCAGGCATGGCCATATGACCCAGTGTCACCAAGCCTTCGATTTTCTTGGAGAAATCAGAAATCTGGAATTTTATAAGAAATTTCTCATTTATTATAATATACACATATCTGTTGACTTCATTGCTCCTCTCTGTCCCCCTCACTTGCCAGTCTGGACCTTGGGGTAGGTGAGCTCATGGACAGATGGCCCCACCCAGGTCCTGAAGTGACCTAAGGGTGTGGGACAGCTTATACCCAAGGCCATGGGACAGAAGACCCCTACTGCTTACATGGGTCCTCTAAGCTTCATAGACTCCTAGAGGGTCATCCTGTCCACCCTCCAACCAGCTTGAGTCCCCTCCATTGGCAGGAAACTCTACCTGTCACTGGTTCTAACCAAAAGAAAGGTCTTCCCTTTCCACCTTGAACCTCATTCTGCCTTCTGAGCCCTGCAGAAGGAATGGGCTTCTGGGGGAAGTGGGGGGCGCTTCACCCTGGCTCTTTAATTTTTCCCAGCGTTAAAGGCCACACAGACAGAGCTGCTGGAACTGCGGCGAAAATATGATGAGGAGGCAGCATCCAAGTAAGTGAAAACCCTGCTGAGACATGTCTTCTCACTCTGGCCCTCCCAGACATCCCTCTTCCCTCATATCCTACCAGATATGTCTCTTCCCTCTGACCTTCTCAAATATGCCTCCTCCCTCCAACACCCCCATGCATGCCTCCACCCTCAGGCCCTCTCAAATATTCCTTCCTGACTCCTCCCTCCAACTCACTGCCTGAAACACCTATTTCATTAAGCACCCAGTGCTCCCCAGCCCCGTAGGCACACAGCTGTTCACTGGTCATTTGCTGTGCCATTCATGTGCCAGACTATAAATGACATTCTGGGTCATGTCTGAGCAGGTTTGCTGGGTGGGGGCCTTCATCTTACCCCAAATTCCTAGAACTGTCTCCACCACAACTCCACAGTCCAACCCTCGGGCTGAGTATCATTCACTTAAATTACTCTGGACTCAACATGGCTTTAAGACATCATTTATTTAAAAAAAAAAAAAAGACATAATTTATTCCACAGACACTTATTAAACACCTACTGTTTACCCAGTGCTGTGCGGGGTCCCTAGAAGAAATGTTAGAACATGATCCTGTCCTCAGTTGAGAAGAGACAGACAATAACTGATAATGTACAGAGATAAATTCATTCCTTCACAGATTACTATTGAGCACTTACTGTATGCTTGGCACTGTTCTGGGTGCCTGGTGAATGCTAAGAAAGGAAGAACCAAGAGCAGCAAGAGAGAATCACAGGGAGGGTTGGGTCCTATTATCCAGCGTAGTTACGGAAGGCTTCCCTGAGGAGATGACCTTCAGAATGAGAAGGAGATAGCCACGTGGAGAATGCCGGGTCGGGTGCTCTGGGCAGGGGGGGAACAGCTTGCATGAAAAAAGCCCCCAAACATACCTAAAGCACGCGCACAGCTTCTAGTCACCAAATGCTCCCCGCAGGCCTCCTGTGCCCCACCAACCCCATGCTCAGCAGAGGGGCGACCGAGGTAGATATGGCCTGTCCTGGCCCCCTTAGTGCTGGGACCGTGGATGGGGGGCAGCAAATAAATGACCACCACGGGGATAGAGGGAGGCCTCCTAGGAGGACACTTTGGAGCTGGCTTTTAAAGCTCAGGGTCGGGGCACCTGGGTGGCTCAGTGGGTTAAAGCCTCTGCCTTCGGCTCAGGTCATGATCTCAGGGTCCTGGGATCGAGCCCCTGCATCAGGCTCTCTGCTCAGCAGGGAGCCTGCTTCCCCTTCTCTCTCTGCCTGCCTCTCGGTCTACTTGTGATCTCTCTCCCTCTGTCAAATAAATAAGTTAAATCTTTCAAAAAAATTTATTAAAAAAATAAATAAATAAATAAATAAAGCTCAGGGTCCTGTCCTCTTGAGGAAGGGCATTCCAGGTGGAAGGCACAGCAGGGACAAAGCCTGGGAGGCGTAGCTCTGTCCGCACCTGGGGGTGTGGCAGGCCAGGTTGCCCAGAAGGGGTGTTGTGCTGAGGCCCCCGTCCCATTTCCAGACGTACTGGGTTCTTTAGTGCCCAGCCCCGTTTCTGTCCAGTAGGAAGGGTAGAGGGCAACCTCCTTAACCTCCCGTTGTGGGCCTTTAGGTTCAGGCAGGGGCTGGGGTTATCGGGGTAGGCAGGGGCCCAGGGGCTGCCAGAAGCCCTTCTCAGGATCTTCTCTTTCTGTCTCAGGGCAGATGAAGTCGGCCTGATCATGACCAACTTGGAGAAAGCTAATCAGGTGAGAAGATGTATGCTAACACTCACTCATTCTGCCCAGGGTTGGGGACTCGGGCTGGGAGGGACGGACTGAACCCAGCTGATAGTTGTTGGTATCATTGCCGTGTGCCATGCTGAGTGCTAGGGCCAGGAGGTGCCTGGGGCCCTGAGCTCCCGGAGGGAGGAGGAAGGGATGCTGATGGGACACTCAGAAATAGGGTGACCAGGAAGCAGCAGTCGGGGAGGGACGCCTGACCCAGACTCAAGGGTCAGAGAAGGCATCATGGAGAAAGGGCGTGATGCTGAGATCTGATGAACAAATTGAAAACGGATGCCCGGATGGCATTCCAGGCCAGGGAACAGCCTGGGCGAAGGCCAGGAGGCCACCTACAGAGAACACGGTGCCTTCCCTGGTGGCTGTACTAGAGGCCTCTCCAACAGGAGGAAGGCGGCAAAGCAGTGACTGGTGAGCCTAGAGTGCAGGCCTAGCTGGGACATGGGTCTCTCCCAAGCAGACCAAGTGAGGAACCATATTCCACAGAGCCTGTGGTGGTGACAGGGGACAAACCCCTGCTGCTTCTTTCCCTCCCTCCCCACTACCAGGTCTCCTGCAGCCTTCTCCCTTGATCCCAGCCCCACCAGCCAAGCACTGGGCAGACCCCAAACTTCAATGGGTTCCCCATCTGCTAGTCCCAGCCCAGGTCCTCGAAAGTCTATGAGCCTCTGCGAGTCCCCGTTTTCACATATGTAAATGGGGTCCCGCACCCTGCCTTCTTCTGGCCTCAGACCTGTTGCCGTCTTGTGGGCAAAGCTGGCAAGAGCCTGAATGGAGGTGAAGTGTGGCCATGGGCTCCGGTCTGGAGTCTCTACCCACACCCGGCTCCCTGCAAACCCAGCAGCCAGGGTCATGGCCATGCAGCGTGACAGCAAGTGGATCACACTGGTCACAAGTGGGTCATTGCTTTGGAGGAGCACACTTTGCAGCCCAGGAGCCGTTCTCTGGAGGAAGGGCGTTCCGGGCAGAAGGCACCGCAGGAGCAAAGGCCCAGAGGCATGGCTGTGCTGGCATAAGGGCAGGACCCTCCCACCTGCAGAGGAAACGTAGAAAGGGATAGCATTTTCAGGGTAATTTTTTGAATACATAATCCATTTACATCGTTCAAAACACAGAAAAGTTCATACGTGGGGAACTCCCATCTCCTTCCCCAACTCGGCTTGCCAGTTCCCCTCCCTTTGGCAGTCTCTCTTGTTTCTAGGGTCTCCTTGTAGAGCTCTGTCCACAAACTCATGAATATATGAATTTTTACCCCTTTTAAAAGCAAAAGCTATCACATACTGTACCCACCCTCCTGAACCTTCTTTTTTCCACGTGTGTATCTTAGAACTCGTTCCATGTCTGTATAGAAACAATTTATTCATGGCTGTTGGTATTGCCCTACAGGGCCGCACTGCCATGTAACCTGGGGGGGCTTTCCGTGAAGGGGCACAGAGGAACTATGCCCAGCTCTGTGGGTCTCTGTCACAGCCGATCCATTTTCCCGTACGTGAAAGCATAGACGTATGCGAGCGAATGGATGTGGCTGGGTTCCAGAAAAGCCTGGTACACAAACCGGGCATCCGGCTGCAGTTTGCCCGCCCGTGGTCTAAACAGTCCCCGACTGGTGAAGACCATGGTATTTCCAGCTGTGTACCATCATCGTCAGTCCCGCAGGGAACACCCTGGCACAGACACTATTTCAGACCTGCATGAGCCAATAAATAGGATAAATTCTGAGAAGTGGAATTACTGGGCGGAGGATCTGTGCATTTTTATCTGACAGATGTGACCAAACTGCCCAGTTTGCCCTCCCTGCAGCCAGTGAAGAGAGGGCCTGTTCCCCTGCATCCTCGCTAGTACCGTGTGTCACCCAACTTTTGGATCTTCGCCAATTTAATAGGCTTGAGGAAAGAGATCTTAGAGCAGTTTGAACAGGAAACAATTTTTTTAATGTTCATCTTCTCTGAGTATAAAAGTAAAACCTCGTTATAGAAAGTATGGAGAGGAAAATAAATGTCATCATATGAGGGTTTCTTTAATCTGTGTTAAGATTATCCAAAATGTGAACAAGAGGATTCTGGAGCAGAGCAGATCAGCGTTACTATTTACATAGTAAATAGTATTTACTATTATTACTATTTACATAGTAATAACCCGGCCAGTTTGCCCCAGCTCTTTCCCCTGGGGGTGACAATCAGTCATTGTCCTGCATGCACCAGATTTCTTACTGGGGACAAGGAACCCCCAGATGTGAATCCAGGTGGTTATATAGGAGAGGGAGCTCTTTGAGAGGGAGAAAACTAGCTCCCTAGAGTCATGATGGACAGAGGGCAAGGATCCTAGATTTTTAGCATGTGGAATGCAAATATTTCTGTCCATGGGGGAGATAAGACTCGTAACTTTCTAGTAGCTATAAACCCAGCTTTCCAACCCAGGGGTTGTGTCCATGGCCGGGGTCTCCTCCCGCTTTGAAATGTAAACACATATCTTCAGAGAGGAAAATCTGCTGTTCTCACCAGCGGAGAGAAACTGACTTCTGGGCTTGTCATTTAGCCCCATCCTGTTTTAGTCAGATTTGCTTGGGAAGCCCCAACTGTGCAGAAACATCAAAGTATTTCTCTATACCCACACACCCAAAGCCTTTCCCAAAACAAAACTTACTTGAGCCATTTCTGGAACAAGGCAGGATACTAGGAAGTGAACAAATCAATTTAAAAAATTAATTAACCAAAATTAATTAATTAATCAATTAACAAAATGTGAACATGGATGTGTGTGGGTCTCCATATGTGTGTGGTAGGCGTGGCATCTTGATTGCCAAGATCAGCATGAAAGTTAACTATAATCGTTATGACCTGTGTCACCAGCTGAGGATAAAAATATAGTCACAGCTTTTTTCATTAAGTTAACCAACTATTGATACCTAAAATACCTAATGAGTTGTAATTTACCAGATCACTTACTTTGCAAAACAAATCTATGAGGTAGTTCTTTTTATCATCCCCATTTTACAAATAGGGAAACTGAGGCTGGGCAGATGAACTCTCCTTCCCAAGGTCACACAACCAGGGAATGACAAAGTACAAATTTCTCTCAAAAGCCACAAGGCTACATTGTGAACATTTGGAGGCTTCCTTCAAGGCTTTTTTCTTAGAAATTTTTGAGGAGTTAAGTTTCACCATAGACCGAGTTTGGTAAGCTGGCATCCCAATTTAGATGTATTTCATAGCCCCCATTTCACAAGAGGAAAACTGAGACCCAGGGAGAGGAAGCGACTTGCCCAGGGGCCTGCCACAGCTCATGGGCTGGGAAACACTCTGCAGACACTCCATCTAGGTGGCACTAGGTGGCATGGGAGCTGGAGACAAACACCAGTTCTGCCTGAGGTGTGCAGGGCGATGGCAGAAGGCCAGGGTGGGATCCAGTGTGACCCTGCTCCCCTCTTAACCACATTCACCTCCATTCTCTTCCCCCAGCGAGCTGAGGCTGCCCAGCGAGAGGTAGAAAGTCTTCGGGAACAACTCGCCTCAGTTAACAGCTCTATCCGCCTGGCCTGCTGCTCCCCCCAGGGACCCAGTGGGGTAAGGATGGTGCAGGAGCCAGAGGGAAAGGTTGGGAAAAGCCATGTTGGGGAGTGTGAATATGTGGATGACATTTTGTGGATCAGTCATGTACCTCTGTGTGAAATTAGGCACATGAAAGTGTGTGGATACAGTGGGCATAGCATCTTAATAAGGTCAGTGTATAGTTAACTATAATTACTATGACTTGCTTCACCAGTTGAAGGTCAAAATACAGCCACAGCTCTTTGCAAGCTCAAGCTTCCATGTGTGATTAATAGGAAGTCCAGCATCTTCCTTTGGAGGCTCTCCTTTACCCCAAATTGTCCAAGAATGCCAGCAACTTACTCAGGCCAAAGAGGACCATTTCCATGGCCAGATGCCTGGCAAGACTGGGTGGGAGGGTAAGTTTGAGCTCTAGAACAGCGGTGCAGTTCTGGTAGCTGCCACCAGGTGTCGCCATTGACCACTGGTTCTCAAGTCCTACAAAACCGTAGTAGGACCACTTAACCAAGATCTGAGGTAAACAGTCCTATCAGCCAGTTGGGTCCCAAAACATGCCGGAGTGATTCCAGTAGGCTTTCCCAAACAGCCACATGCTACAAAGCACCAGTCTTTAGTCATCAATCCTGAGGTTCCTGTGTTAAGCCAGCTTAGCGCACCTTTCTCTTAGAGCACCTTGGGGCCGCCTGGGATCCTGGGGTCAGAGGGATTTCAGTCAGAGTCACCCCAATCGATCCCTCTGTCCTGTGTTAAGTAAGAGTCTTCATCGCGGAGCACCTGGCTGTCAGTAGAGCACGCAACTTGATCTCACAGTCATGAGTTCAAGCCCCACACTGGGTGTGGAGCCTACTTAAAAAAAAAAAAAAAAAAAGTCACCATTGCTCCTCTCCCAGGAAGCCTTGGGTTCCTTATGTCAGCTGGTCCACCTTCTTTCCAGATCTGTGCATACCAAAGGATTCGATTCCCGACTCCTTACATGACAACAGGCCTGCTCCAGGGTGATTTGCTGCCTCCCCGCACACGCCTGAAGTGGCCAGCATATGTTTCACCCCACCGGACTCCCTGAAACACTGACCACTGTGCCCGTATCGGTCTTCCTGTTTCAGTGTCGGACTGTGTCTCCCCTGACGTGTGTCACCATGAATGTGTTTATCTGTTTGTGGCCTTTGGGCAGATAACTGTGTCCTTAATCTAACTGTGCCTCAGTTTCCTCACCTGAAAAGTAAGACCTACTTATAGGGCTGTTGAGAGGATTACATGTAAAGTACCTAAAATGGTTTTTGGCTTATAGTCTGAGGTGGTTTTGCCCACATCGCATGTGATCTCTCAGCACACACATGACTCTGTGTGTCACGGTGACATGTCCATGTGCACACATCTCTTTGGTGCCCAGATATTTCTGTGTATCTGCGTGTCAGCACGAGTACTCCAGCAGGTACATGTATCAGGGTGTGCTGTGTGTGTGTCTGTGTCCCAAGAGGCAGTGTGTGTAGACGTCAGTGTGCCTGGATATCAGCACAACACAACAAGCGAGCACGAGAAAGACCAAGAGAAAGAGGGCTCCTGGGGTCGCCTTAGACGGAATTTACCGATGGTTCTTAATTAACCCCTGTGGAACGCGGTAAATGCCTGTGCTAATCAGCCACGGGGAATTTTGCTGGTTTGGGGGGTAAGTTTTTCTGAGCATCACAGTGGCGCTCGATGCTAATTAATTTAATGTGTTAATGGCATCCGCTTCCTGTTTTAATTGGCATTTATCTCCCTGGAAGAATAGCGGGTATTGGTAGTGGTAGGCTGTGTTTTCTGCTCCGTTTTGTTTTTTGTAAGCCTTTTTAGATTCATTTGCAACTGCTTAGAACAAGCTTGACTTCAGGTCCTCTCAAACATAAACTTCTTATTCATCCAGGACAAAGGGACCATTTCCTAAAACCTGGAGAAGCCGTGGGGCTTGGGGCTAGGGGCAAATTAGGAAGAGAAAGGAACCACCGCTCACATGGCCTATGGCTGTGGGGGTCTCAGGTCTAATCCTGAGGGGTCTGCCTGGAATGAGTGGAAATGCCTCCCTGGGATAGGACCTGTGCCTAATTTAGAAACCTAAACCTTGATCTTGATGTTCTCTCAGCTGGGAACACCCAATCCCCACCCTTTCCTCACCAGACTACTTCCCTTTTTTTTGTCCTTTCATAACAGAGGTTTTATTGAAATATAATATGTATAAGGACACATGTGCATATCCTAAGTGTACAGCATGTTGAATTTTTCAGAGATGCCATAACCAGCGTCCAGATCAGCAGGTAGAATGTCCCCAGCCCTCAGAATGCCCCCCTCGGGTCCCCATCCGGGACCTACTCCCCAAGGGAGACACTCTCCTGACTCTTAACCATACAGTTGGGTTTTGCCTGCTTTTGTATCTGGTCAGAGTCAGATCCCGCACACACGCTTTGCGGTCTGGCTCCTTTCCCTTCATATTCTGAGAGCCTGGTCCATGCTGTGTTAGTAGTCGTGGACTATCCGTTTTCAGAGCTGTAGCGTTCTCCATGGTGTGGGTGTGCCACAACCCGATCCTCCCTTCTCTCACTGGAGGGCATCTGGTGGCCAGAGGAGGGTTTCCGGCTTGGGGCTATGACAGAGAGGGCTGCTACGACCGTTAGCTTGGTGTTCACATGTGTGCCTTGTGCGTTGTTCCTGCTTCCCCCCCCACATATGCACCAGGCAGAAGTGCACATATCCACCCTTAGCAGACGCTGCCAAGCAGTTTTCCAAGTCACTAACTTGTTCTTGAACTTCTTCACAGTTTAGACACATCTGCCTCCAGAAAATCTTCCCTACCCACTCTCCCCTCCGCGCCCCAGTTTGAATACTAGAGGGAAGGCGTCCGGGCTGGTAGAACTGGCCTGAGCAAAGGCTCAGAGACAGGAGGAGGAAAGCCAGAGCCTGGAAGGAGGGGCTGAGTCACTCCAGGGAGCATAGCACCAGGGGTGGGGGAGGATGCCAGGGATGGATTTCCCCTTTTGTCTGGGATTCGGTCAGCCCTCCGGCCCCCTGCCCCACACCTCTTAGCCCCTCAAAGCCCCACTTTTTCTGCAGGATAAGGTGAACTTCGCGCTGTGCTCGGGCCCCCGGCTTGAAGCCGCGCTGGCCTCCAAGGATCGGGAGATCCTGCGGCTGCTGAAGGACGTGCAGCACCTCCAGAACTCTCTGCAGGAACTGGAGGAGACCTCGGCCAACCAGATCGCGGACCTGGAGCGGCAGCTCACGGCTAAGTCCGAGGCCATAGAAGTAGGTCTTGGGAGAGGAGGTGTGCAGACAGGAGACGGGCGGGGCGTCCCCCAGGCAGAAGGACGTGGGCCAGCCTGAATCCATCTTTGCTTTCTCCTCTAGAAGCTGGAAGAGAAGCTCCAGGCACAGTCTGACTATGAAGAAATTAAAACAGAGCTGAGGTACCATGGGGAGTGGGGCCCCACCACCCCCAGCCCTCTTCCTGGGTGAGGAGGGGCCCTGGACCTAGTTCATGATCTTCCTTCCTCCCACCACACCCCACTTGGTGATGCCCCTGTCCCTCCCCCAGGGCAGCCTGGGTCTCAGAACTGAACCACACTTGGTTCTTTGCCCTCCAGAGCCACCTATCCGAGAACTTGCGAGGTGGCTCATGGCCCGTGTGGGAACTGGCAGGATGGTACTTGCACTGGATGAGCTCAGACCCGCCCTCAGGGGTTGGTTAAGGCAGCACCCCTCCAGCTATCACGGGAGCCGGCTCACAGCCTGCTACCTGAGCCTGTGGTTGACCCAGGGGCAGTGTTCCGTGGGGCCCCCGGGGTGGGGCCGTTGTTCTCAGTCAGGGAAGAGGAGCCAGAGGAAGTATCTCTCAGACCTCCCCCTCAAGCGCCACGAACCTGACTGGTCTCAGACTCTGCGCTTTCTCTGGCAGCATCCTGAAAGCCATGAAGCTGGCCTCCAGCTCCTGCAGCCTCCCCCAGGTGAGCTTTCCGCCACTGTCCCCACAGTGCAGGCTGCCCTCGGGCCTTCTGCCACCCGTGCCCTCTCAGCCCGGCCTCTTGTCTCCTCAGGGCATGGCCAAGCCCGAAGACTCATTGCTCATGGCAAAGGAGGCCTTCTTCCCCACGCAGAAATTCCTTCTGGAAAAGCCCGGTCTTCTGGCCAGCCCTGGTAGGGGAGACGGGATGTTCTTGGGGCCGAGGGACTATGATAGGGGCTGCCCGTGGGCCTCTGGCCTTCTCTGGGCCCACACACCACTGCTTCCTGTGTGGGCAGGAGAGGGAGGAGGAAAGGGGTGAACATTGAATGGGCGGCTGTGTGGTGGTGCTGCGCTGGGGGTTCCCCTAGGTGAAGCCAGCTGGCAGCGCCCCCCACCCCGAGTGTCCACACACACCTACCCCACACAGCTCACTCAGGCCCTCCCAAGAACCCTCCACAAAAGGCTCCATTCATCCCCGAGTCTCGATGAGCAGCGGGAAGAGGTCACAGGGCACGAGGAGGGCATTCCCATTGTAACCCCCGAAGACATTGCTCTCTCCCCAAATCACCTTCGCTGCTCAGGCCTTCTCCCCACATAGTGGCTCCATGACCTTACAGCTCTGTGGCCCCGGCCAAGACTCTCTGTGCTGCCTCTGTTTCCTCATCTGTGAAATGGGGGCAATAACAGATCTACTCCGTGGGTGCTATTCATCTGGGTAATGCAAGCACATAGGACGTGTAGGAAGAGGAGGGCTGCAAGGTGGGCCAGGAGTGCGCATCCTGCCTCGGTGGGCATTGGTCCCAGCGCACCACCCAGGGGCCAGGGGCTGGCCCGGAACAAGTGCTCAGTGCATGTTAATGTAGGAGGGAAGGGTCCCCAGGACTGGCGTGTGGGCCAGGCCTGCACAGATGGGGATTTGAGGGTCAGAAAATGAGCTCTTGGTACTGCTGGACGCCCAAAGCACTTCTCTCCCCTTCCCCACCTGCCCTCTCCTCCCCTCTCCTCTCCCTGAATTGCTCTCTCATGTATGTGTCTCTCTACCTCCCACTTTCTGTCTCTTTGTCCCTCTGTCTCTTTCTGCCTCTCATTCTGTCTCTGCCTCTGTCTGTGTCTCCCTGGTTTCTTGTTTGCCTGGTGTATGCCTGGTTTCTTGTTTCTCTCTGCCTCTCTGTCTCCCTGTGTCCATTTCTCTGGTATCTTTCTCACTCTCTGTCACTCTCAATATTTCTCTCCCTGTCTCTCTCTCTATCTCTCCTTTCTTCCTCCATCTGTCTGTCTCTCTCGACATTATAGAAGAGGACCCTTCGGAGGACGATTCCATCAAGGACTCTCTGGGCACGGAGCAGTCCTACCCATCCCCTCCGCAGCTCCCGCCACCACCAGGGCCCGAAGACCCCCTATCCCCCAGCCCTGGGCAGCCCCTGCTGGGTCCTGGCCTGGGCCCTGATGGCCCAAGGACTTTCTCACTGTCCCCCTTCCCCAGCTTGGCCTCTGGGGACAGACTAGCAGGGGACGCACTGCTGTCCAAGCACATGATGCCCCCGGCCACCTTTAAGGGGGAGGCAGGCGGCCTGCTGGTGTTCCCCCCGGCCTTCTACGGCACCAAGCCCCCCACGGCTCCTGCCACCCCTGCTCCTGGCCCCGAGCCGCCTGGGGCCCCCGAGCCAGTGGACGGGGGTGGGAGCAGCGCAGCCGGGGCAGGGGCCGGAGCCGAGGAGGAGCAGCTGGACACGGCGGAGATCGCATTCCAGGTGAAGGAGCAGCTGCTCAAACACAACATCGGGCAGCGAGTGTTCGGCCACTATGTGCTGGGGCTGTCACAGGGCTCGGTCAGCGAGATCCTGGCCCGGCCCAAGCCCTGGCGCAAGCTCACGGTGAAGGGCAAGGAGCCCTTCATCAAGATGAAGCAGTTCCTGTCAGATGAGCAGAACGTGCTGGCTCTGAGGACCATCCAGGTGCGGCAGCGAGGTGAGGGCCTGTCCCAGGGCACAGGGGCAGAGGGCACAGGCTCCGGGCTCAGAGCCGGACTCTGCCACCTCTCAGCTGTGTCACCGGGGCAAGTGACTTTACCGCTCTGTGCCTCAGTTTCGCCTTCTATAGAACAAGGAAATATATCCCCTCTCCCTTCTTCCTGGGGCCTGTGGCTACCCCTTGCTCCCAACTTGGCCCTAGTGGGACAACTCAGGCTGATCATGGTGGGAGAAGGCTGGGCCAGGGGCTGCCCTGGCAGGTAGGAACTTCCTGAGGACCTCCAAGCCTCAGCTCACCCATCCGTGAAATGGCCCGGGTTCCTACCAATCTTGCGAGACTTGACTTTTAGGGTATCCTATGTGAATGGCCCAAGGTTTGACCTCCCAAACACACCTGAGTTTGAGTTCCAGCTCTGCCATTCACGCACTAGGTGACCTGGGACGGCTGACTTTAGTTTCTGTGCCTCAGTTTCCCCATCCATCCCCATCTTTCAGGCACCTCTGAGGGTTAAATGAGTAGAAATCATTCAGCACGCCCGCAAAACCTAGTACCTGCTTGAGGACTGTTAGCTGTGGTGGCCATCGTTGTTGTCACCATTATGATTGGTATTATTATTATTAGTTCAAGCCAAAATCATTTGTAGATCCAGCCTGTCACACAGACTGGCTAAGTGGCGGTCTTGCCACACACACTCGAGGTCTGGCCCTCCCTTTCCCAGCCCTGGCCCTGGAGCCCCTGAGGGAGGAAGGGACCCACCCTTCACCCTGCCCAGCTCAAGGGACTGACCCACAGCAGGCAGGTCCCCACGACAGATGCCCCCTTGCCTCCCCCAGGCAGTATCACCCCAAGAATCCGCACACCAGAGACAGGCTCGGATGACGCCATCAAGAGCATCCTGGAACAGGCCAAGAAGGAGATCGAGTCCCAGAAGGGGGGTGAGTGTCACTGCCCCAGGCGGGGCCTGAGGCCTCCAGGACCTGCCCTGAGCAGGAGCTGAACCCTTGCCCGCCTTCATCCACAACAGCCGGGATTCCAAGCAGGTCAGAACCTCTTCGCCAACCAGCCTGCAGCCATGTGAGGCCTGGAAGGCACTGGGTCCCTGTTAGTGTGGGAGCCACTAGCCACGTGTGACTATTTCCACTCAAATTACTGGAAATTAACTAAAATTACAGCTTCAGTTTTCGGCACAGTGACGAGTGGCAGCTGTATGGGACAGCCCAGCTACTGCCACCACCCCGCTCTGGATTGTCCCGGGGGCTTCGACTTTGAAGAGACTCGGTGATCCGTAATCACACAGGAACTCTGTCAAAAGTCACAGGTCCGCAGTCAGCCTCACGGGGCAACAGGGCCGCGTTCCTTCTGGAGGCTCCAGGGGAGAATCCATTTCCTTACCTTTTCCAGCTTCTAGAGGCGCCCACAGCCCTTCCCCTGTGGCCCCTCCTGCATCCTCAAGGCCAGCAGCATAGCAATTTCCGCTCTGCCTCTGATCTTCCTGTTTCCCTCTCACAAGCACCCCTGTGATGATGTGTGGCCGGCCCATGTAGCCCAGGATCGTCTCCCATCTCAAGATCCTTAACTTGATCCCATCTGCAGAATCCTCTTTGTCATGTGAAGTAGCATAGTCTGGGCCCAGGGATAGGGATACCATTGGGACCCCATTATTCAGCCAAACAGAGTGTACTTTCTCCAGCAGCCCCTCAAACACAGGATCCCCCAGGACTCCCCCCACCAGGCCCTCTGACTTTCCTACCCTTCCTAGATGAGTTAGTCCATTCCTAGAAGTTCCACCAACACCCAAAACACCCCCTCTCCAGGCCACACCTCTCGAGAGTTCCAGAGCCCTACACCAACTGCTAGCTGGACATATCCACCAGGGTCCTCCAATGGCATCTCAGACTCAGCGTATCTGAGATGGAACTTACTGTCTTCCCTTACCCCTCACTCACTCCCCATACCCACCAGCTCAAGGCTGGGAACCTGTCACAGATGGTGCCTGGCACCCAGGTGGCGTGAGCAGCTCTCCTAGACTACCATCATCTTCACTTGCTGGAACTGTCTCACTAGCCTCTTCACTGGTCTTACCAATGATATTCTAGGTCCCGGTGTAGCCCATTCTCCACAGAGGCCAGAGGGATCTTTCTAGAGCAGACAAATGGGCATGTCACTACTCCCCTTCCACAGCTCCCCATTCCCCTAAGATAAAAATGCCAACTCCTCAACAAAGCCCCAGACCCTAAGGTCTTGACTTCTCCTGACTACCTATACCTCTCGAACAAACTGCTTATAGCCACGTCCACTCTCCTGCTGTTCCCTGTGCCCCTAATGCAATCCTCACCCCTGGCCAACTCCTGCTCATTCTCAACAGTTCAACTCAAAGTCGCCTCGTCTAGGAAACCACCCACCCCCATCCAGATGGATTGGATACTGACCCTCCTTGGATTCCCCGTAATCACCTACATTGCTTGATGCAATGCAGCCAGAGTGGCCAGGCTGCAAATTTTGCCTCTTCTGTTTATTAGCCGTGTGACCTTGGGCAAGTTTCTTAGCCTCTCTGTGCCTCAATTTTCTCATATTTAAAATGGGCACAATATCAGTACTCCTTTCTTAAGGCTGTATAAGGTCAAATGAAATCAGTCCTGACAAGCACTCAGCCTGGGGGCCTGGCATGTAGAAGGTCCCCCTGAAAATGTAGCTATCATTACAGGTAATGTTACATTTTTCTATCTGTTGTTACATTTGTTCAAGTTACAAATACTTCTGCTGATACGTCTGTCCCCCCTACCCATCTGTCAGAGGGCTTTTTGCCGCAAGGGGCGGAGTGGCCTCCCTCCTGCTCCCAGCACTGCTGCTGACTTTGAACCTGATGCTGGCTTTCACGTTCCCACTTTGTGGTGTCTGCTGCCCCTTGGTGGCAAATTGGAGCAAACTGTCCCGATTCCCCAGCGTCTGAATGTGGCTGGGAGCCAAGTGTTCAGCAAGGGCCCGTTCTCCTGCCAGGTCCCTGGGAGGGACAGAGGATCTCGCCCCAGGACCCTACACTGCCCCACCCAAATAATCCTCTGAGGCCCTGCTGTGTACAGCTGATTTCTTTATTGAGCTCCTGTGCAGGAGAGGCAGTCATTCCATAAACATTGGCTAAGCATCTCCTGCATACTGGACATGAGGTACAGCTGCAGACAAGACATAGTACTGGAGTGTAAAGAACCATGAGAAACAGATTCATCAAACTCTCCCACTAAATAAACAGGACAGCTGAGAGCAGAGAGGGGGAGACATGCTCGCAGTTGCACAGAGACCAAGGGAGAACCCAGGTCTCCTGACTCCCTGTACAGTACGCTCCCACAGGTGGGGGTGGGGGGTGTCAGAAAGAAGACAGCAGAGAAATCAAAAAGGCAACATTAGGGGGCGCCTGGGTAGCTCAATTGGTTAAGTGTCCGGCTCTTGATTTGGGGCTCAGCTCATGATCTCAAGGTAGTGAGATGGAGCCTGCTTAAGATTCTCTCTCCCCCTGCCCCTCCCTGCCCATGCACAGTCCCTGTCTCTAAAAACTACTAATAATAAGACAAAAATATCGGGCAACATCACAGCAGAGTGGGCCAGCCAGGGGGGGTTCCATTCAGGGTCTCTGAAGAGGTAGCAAGAGACAGAAATGTCCAGGTGATTGCTCCACACCGCTGACAAGAGTGGATGCTACGAAGAGAGCACGGAGCAGACCCCCAGGGAGGACAAGCGCATGCTGACTGCTAACTCAAAAGCTCCACTCTCGGAATTGAAGAAAAACTACCCAGGATGGGGGCAGAGATTTATATACAAGCTGTTCCTTTATCGGGGTTCACATCAGTGACCAAATAGAAACAGCATGAGTGTCCCGCAGTGGGGGATCAGGTAAACACAGCAGAGAATATCTCTTCAAGTGGCAGAGGCAGCCGTAAGAGGTAGAACTTTGAGTCATGAGAAAACATGCTCGTGTTGATACTAAGTGGGGATGCGCCAGGCTGCGATCCCACATCAAGCATGATCTCCCCCACGTGTGTGAGATTAGAAAGCAGAGCAGAAGGCAATACGTGAGGCTATTCCGTGTGATTGCCTTTGGCAGAGAGATTAACTTCATTTAACCACTTTGCTGCAGTATCTTCACAGTATCTCCAAAGCATGCTTTGACTGATGCTGTGAACACCTTTGCCCGTCAAGCCATGCCCTGACCGTGGGCCTCTGGCCACCCTGTGTCATCCTCCCGACAGGTGAGCCCAAGAACGCGACAGCCCCACTCAGCATCACCAACGGCACAGCCCCTGCCAGCACGTCAGAAGATGCCATCAAGAACATTCTGGAGCAAGCACGCCGCGAGATGCAGGCACAACAGCAGGCACTGCTGGAGATGGAGGCCGGGCCCCGGGGCCGTTCGGTCCCTCCCTCGCCCCCAGAGCGGCCCTCACTGGCTGCTGTGAGCCAGAATGGGGCCCCGACCTACGTCAAGCAGGAGGACAGCAGTGGCGGCGGTGGCGGGGGAACCAGCAGTAGTGCCACACAGACGTCCCTCACGGTCCTGTCCCCCGCGGCCTTCGTCCAGAGCATCATCCGGAAGGTCAAGTCGGAGATCGGAGACGCCGGCTACTTTGACCACCACTGGGCCTCGGACCGTGGCCTGCTCAGCCGCCCCTATGCCTCCGTCTCGCCCTCCCTGTCCTCCTCCTCCTCCAGCTATTCTGGACAGCCCAACGGGAGGGCCTGGCCCCGTGGGGATGAGGCCCCCACAGCCCCTGAGGACGAGTCAGCGGGGGGCGAGGAGGAGCCCCCCAGGGTGGGCGAGCTGAAGTCTGAAGGGGGCGTCCCCGAGGCAGGCAGCGGTGGGCGGCTGGCCTACTACCCCGCGTACGTGCCCCGCACGCTGAAGCCCACCGTGCCGCCCCTGACCCCCGAGCAGTACGAGCTTTACATGTACCGGGAGGTGGACACCCTGGAGCTGACACGCCAGGTCAAGGAGAAGCTAGCCAAGAACGGAATCTGCCAGAGGATCTTTGGGGAGAAGGTGAAGACAGTGGGGCCCACCTCCAAGGAGCTCAGGGGGCCATGGGGCCCATGGGACCTGGGGAGGGAGGACCACCTGAGGACCCAGCCCCCAGCGCTTGTGGTTTGGAAAGAGAGGTTGTGTGTATGAACAGGAGCAAGGCAAAAGCAGGATTCGAACCCAGGTCTGCCTGACCCAGACCGTTTTTCCTGCATCCACCTGTCTCTGGGTCCTGTGGGAAGAGAGCCATAGGCAGGACTGACATTCAGTCCTGTGGTTGTTCAAACAGTGAAATGTTTCTGTCTGGTTAGGAATAGCTACTTATCTCCCATCCTCCAGAACCCTCCATCCCTCCCAATGATCTGCCCACTAAAGGGTTAAGGCTCAGCCCAGCAAAGGGTGCCCTGCAGTGCCAGTGGTTAAGTAGTTTTTAACAGCACCTCTGCCTACAGTAGAGGAGCAGGGAAAGGGTCAGGTGAGCTGAGAGATAGGAGTGACCTAAGTGGAAGCACAGGAGGATTCCCTGGAGGAGGAGGCGTTTGAGGGCTCTTAAAGTCAGGAAGGATTCTTACATGCAGGGATCATCTGGAAGGGCACTGTCGATGGGGGGCGTGGCCCAGCCACACGGCAGGCACCTGGGAGATAAAGAACAATCAAGGCAGCCCTGGTCTCCCAGAGAATCAGAGTGAACAGTGGTCTCTACAGAGGGAGGGAGGGAGGGGAGGCCCGGGGATGGCCCAGGAGCCTGCCTCCCTACCCTTCCTGCCCCACCCATCCCCAGGTGCTGGGCCTGTCCCAGGGCAGCGTGAGCGACATGCTGTCCCGGCCGAAGCCCTGGAGCAAGCTGACGCAGAAGGGGCGAGAGCCCTTCATCCGCATGCAGCTGTGGCTCTCGGACCAGCTCGGCCAGGCCGTCAGCCAGCAGCCCAGCGCCTCCCAGGGTGAGTGTGGTCGGGGCCCTCTCGCAGGATGCTGCCTGCCCCCCAGAACTGCCATTCCCAGCAGCCATTACTTCTCTCTGGAAGACAGCAGGGCTATCCTTCCTCCAACCAGAGGAATGCCCTCTGTTGGTGGTTTAGACTCTATGCCTAGAGCAAGTGGAGGGAATACTTAGCGTGTGGAGCTGGGGCCACGCCCTCCCATCCCCTGACCAGAATCACTGATTGATCTCTTTTTCCCAGCGAGGCAACACGCAGCCTCAGAAGCCTTAGCACAGAGATTTGGGCTGTTACCCGTCCATTAGTGATGCACAGGCAGGGTGAGGTCTGAACATTGCCCGGGTGAGGAAACTGAGGCTCGGAGAGTTGCCCAACGTCACAGAGCAGAGATGGCAGCATGGAGTCTGGGGAGGGACTCTAGGAAGCCCTCGCTCCCTCCCTTGCAGCGCCCAGTGGGCAGGTCAGTTGGAGTCCGGATGAAGTGCAGGGATCAACAGACAACAAAGCATCCCAGGTGATGGTGTTTATAGCAGAAGTTCATGGCCAGAAGACAAGACAGCACACTGTTGCCGCATTGGCTACAAGCCTGTGCATTAAAATGTCAAAAAGAGGGACACCTGACTGCTTCCATCGGTAGAGCATGTGACTCTTGATCTCAGGGTCATGAGTTCAAGCCCCATGTTGGGCATAGAGCTTACTGGGGGGAAAAAAAAAGTCAAAAAGAGCCACCACTCTCCAGCATGGGAAGAGGGGTTCCATGGGGGAGGAGAGGGCTCTAGCTGTCTCGGTGGCTTTTTGTCTTTAAAAGAAACAGGGAGATTTGAAGCAAATAAGGGCGTATTAACATCTATTAAGGGCATGGACCCGGGGAAGGGAAGGGGGATTGATGTTTTCTTTTCAGCATATTTCTGTACTTTGAAATATTTTATATTTATAATTTTTGATTGAAAAACCCTGCTCCATGAGGCAGTTGTGAGACTGATGCTGCCGTTCTAATGACAGCTGCCGTTGGTCACACCCAAGGCTGGGCACTTGCAGTAGCTTCTTTAATCCTCACATCAGTCTTCACTGGAAGAATTATTTGTCATTCCCACCTTCCAGAAGAAGAAACGGATGGTCTGAGTAGTACAAGGATGTGCCCAAGGTCACTGGCCAGTTAGTGGCAGAGCCAGGATCAGAATGCAAGGCTTTCAGCCACTAGGGTCCCTAGGAGCGCCTACCCCAGAGCCCATAGCTGTGAAAGAGTTCTCATCCCTGTGTCATGTTGTGTTGTATTGTAATTAATCTGTTCATTGTTGTAAAACTCACATCACGTAAAATTTACCATTTGAACCGCCTCAAAAGTGTACAATTCAGTGGCATGTAGTGCATTCAAAACTTTGTGCAACCCCCAGCTCTCCAGCACCCCTGGACATTCTTAGCCCCCCAAAAGGAACCCTGTGTGCATTAATCAGTCGTGCCCACCCAGCCCTCCCCCAGGCTCGGGAACCACCAGCCTGCTTCCTGTCAGTGTGGATTTGCCTTTGCTGGCCGTTCAGGTCAATGGAATCGTACGCTATGGGGCCTTTTGTGTCTGGCTTCTTTCACCGAACATCATGTTCTCCAAGCTCATCCCTGTTGTAACCTGTCTCAGTACTTCCTGTTTGTGGCCGAATGATATGTCCATGTGTGGCTAGGCCGCCTTTTGGCTACTGTGACTAATGCTGCTGTGAACTTCACGTACCTGTTTTGAATACCTGTTTTTGATTCCTTTGGATACATACCTCAGAGCGGAATTGCTAGGTCGGGTGATAATTCTGGAACTTACTGAGGACCTTCCAAACTGTGCCCCATAGTGACCACAAACGCACCATTTTACACTCCAGGCAGCAGTGGGGGGGGGGGTCCTATTTCTTTCCATCCTCGCCAGCACCTGCCGTTCTCCGTGTTTGACTGAATCTGTCCCTGTGGGTATGAGTGGGCATCTCGTTGCAGTTCTGGTTTGCATTTGCCCAGTGTCAGATTGTTTGGGTTTTTCAAAACATCTTTGTTGTGTAAGGATAGGGTTAGGCTAAGATAGTCAAGAGTGGTGTTCCTGGTGGAAGAAACAGCACAAGCAAAGGCTAGGAAAAAGGATCCTTCACAGATTAGGAAAGGAGTGAGGTCCGGTGAGCATGGACACCTTGTCCCCTCCCCCCTCCCCCAGAGACCAGGAAGCCAGGGCCCATGTTCGTGGAGGCAGAGATGTGAGCAGTGGCTGCTGGCTCGGTGGGGGGTGGCTGATCCAGCCAAGGCCCCCACAGCCACCAGCTGTCCACAGCCTAGAGGAAGGAGAGGATCCATTGCCCACAAGGTCCCGCATAGTCTGGCCATGGGGTTGGGTATGGACCATCCATGGCCCAGGGAGTTGGGGGTGAGCCTGATGCCAGGGGAGGCTTCCAAAGTCTGGCCTCCCCAACACCAGCTGCCCGCCAGCAGAGCCTGGTTCAGTGTTGGGTTCTTAGCACTGCCCACAGTGGTCAACATGGGCACTACGGCCATTTGTGTCTGAGGCTTCTTCTCAGAATTCTCTAGCTCCCCCAGAGCAGTCTCTGACTCCCCGACCCCCGCCCACCTGAGTCTCTCCCACCATCATTGTTGTTTCTCTCCCCCTCCCTTGTCTTTCTCACTGCCTTTCTCATGTGTCTCTTTGTCCCAGTCTCTCTCCACCCCAGCCCCTTCTTTCCCTGTCCCTCTCTACCACTCTGTGCCTGTCCCTACCCCATGTCCCCCTGTCACTCCATCTCTCTCCTTCCATCTCTCCCTCACTGTCTCTCTCCATCATGACCACTGTCCTGTTTGCCCAGGACACGGGACTTTCTATACTACAACCAGCACAGTCCTGGGCAAACAGGTATTACCCTGCTCTCCCAGCTGTGCCCCGCCAACATCCCTGTCCAACACCCTTGCTCAGGCCCCAGCCCGCCTGACTGTTCATGTTCAACCCCTGGCCCCTTATGATTAGTGTGTTCCTCCTGATAGAGTTGATTTCTGAATCTTTCAATAATTTTATTAGAAGTGGTCCTCGGAATCTGAGTAGTCAGAAAAGGCTGACGTTCTGCCTGGAGGCTGGCTGATTTCGGGCTTATAATCGGGGTCTCCCTCCATCGCCTCATCCCGCTCCCCCTCTAGTTGGAAATCTGGCCCTTTAGGAGGGGGTGCAGGTGTTCCAAGAGGCAGATGCCTTTGGAGACCCCCGATTCTCCTCCAGCTGAGCCCAGCTCCTCTCCTATACCCGTGATGGATGGACTCTTGAAACAGCCTCTTGCTTTCCCAGGCTGGCCCTTCCCCACCAGCTCTGTATCTCTGCTGGTGACAGTTGGCGGGGGGGGGGGGGGGGAACACATCATCTCCAGCATCACACAGAGGCCACCTGGATGACCAGAATCAGTCTGATTCGGAGCCGGGGAACAGCAGTGTCTTCATGATGCCCAGTGTGGGCTGCCAGCTCCATGGGGCTGTGATGCCACTGCTCAGAACTTTGAGGGTTCACCTTGCACCCTGTGAGGGTACACAGGGGTCCTGTTTCAAAACTTACTTATTTTATTTATTCACTCAGCGGACCTGCCCAGTGCCTCCTTCCTCCCCACCCTCTAAAACTCACCCATGACTAATGTGTGTTCCCAGCCTGCCAGGGACTTATAGTGGATGAGAAGACAGTGTCAGATATAAGCAGATCTCAGCTTGCCACTAGTCCCTGTGTGACCTTGGACACATTGCCTAACAGCCCTGATCCTCAGTTTCCTCCTCTACAAAATGGGGTGACATGGTAGCTACCTCCTAGAGATGCTATGAAGGTCACTTGAGATCACATAGCATTATGCAGGGCATGTGATAAGTACCCAATAAAAAGAAGTTTTACTAATTATTATCATCATCGCTGTCATCAGGTAGGGGTGAGATCTGGCACAAGAAGGAAATTTCAGCGAAGTGTAACAGTGTAGTCAAGGTGTACCTCGGAGAAGGGGTGTTGGGGACTGGGTTTTGAAGGATGCATAGGAGGTCAAGGCTAGGGAGAAGACCTTCAGGATGGCAAAGTCATAGGGGCATAGAAGAGCCTAGGAGGTTTGGGGCGGGCGGTGGTGGGTGGGTGAATGGGGCTGTGAGAGTAGCTCCAGGTCTGTGTGGTTGGTCCCTCCAAGAGAGCCCAGAGCCTTAAACTCTAGAACAGGGAGAACTCGTTTCTCGTGCAAAGGTCAATAAGGAGCCGTTTCAGATTCTGGAACACGGTAATCCACCTGCTCTCCACAGGGAAGGAAGAACCCATCCAGAGCAGAGGCTCCGAATATTCTTTCTAGAATCAAAGCCACTACAGGATGGCTGTGGGACACTTTTCACTTTCTAGGCATCATACATTTTTATACTTAGTGAATTTCTGGCTGGTAGCAGCCAAATGTCTTGAAGAAGAGGTACCTGTTTCTAATTTGCTGGAAGGTGCCATGTGGACCAGCACTGGGATTCCTTGAACCTCCACCTTGGTCCCACCCCTTTAAGGGCATCAGCTCAGGCCCCTCCCCTACCTCCCGGGATAGACGGGAGGCTCAGTTCATGCCCAAAAGCCCAGTGGGTGGGTGACTGCTCAGGCGGTGGCCTCTTGATGGCCCCGAGGAGGGCTGCTGTAGACATAGTGCCACGTGCTCTGTGGTGCCATGTAACAGATTCAGGGGTTGGGGGTTTGGCAAGGTCATCCCACCCAACGAGTCTACCAAATGGCTTTTGCCAGATGAAAACTGTAGCTTATGAACTCAGTTTTTAAATATGCCAGTGTACCATGGACATCTTTTTCTTTTTTCAGCTTTATTAAGATACATTTGACATAGTAACATTGTATAAGTTTAAAGTATACAATGTGATGGTTTTTTGTGGGTTTTTTTTTAAGATTTTATTTATTTATTTGACAGAGAGACAGCGAGAGAGGGAACACAAACAGGGGGAGTGGGAGATGGAGAAGCAGGCTTCCTGAGGAGCAGGGAGCCTGTTATGGGACTCGATCCCAGGACTCTGGGATCATGACCTGAGCTGAAGGCAGACGCTTAATGACTGAGCCACCCAGGCACCCATAAAATGTGATGGTTTAATAGGCATATATATTGCAAATATTTACCACAGTAAGACTACCTAACACATCCTTCACCTCACATAATTACCATTTTGTTATGTCAGGAGGAGTGAAGTTCTCCTATAGCCGAGTGTCAAGTATATAATGCCGAATTGATCCCCACAGTCACCACACTGCACATTAGATCCCCAGAACGACTCTTACTCTGTGGACAGCTTTTCATTACATCCTTTTTCATTGCTTCTGGGAATCACCATATTTTATTCCATTAATCTCTCTCAGTTGGGTTTATAAAAAGGGTTCCCAACTTACTTTTTGGAACTTTTCATTTTTGAAGTAATTTCTAATTAATTGAAAAGTTGAAACAATAGGACCACGGACTCCCTGTACCCCCCACACAGACTCACCAGTTGCTAATTTTGCCACGTTTGTGCCCTTTCGCTCCTGACCATTGGAGAGGTTAGTTCACTTCGTGTCCCTTTATCCCTAAATACTTTAACAAAGCATTTCCCGAGAACAAGAAAGCTGACAATGGTACGATACCATTAATGTAGCCCACTACCTATGTTCAGGTTTCTTTGGTTGTCCCAATAACAACCTTTATATCATTTTTTAAAGTAAACTCTGTGCCCAACTTAGGGCTTGAACTCACAACCCCCAGATCAAGAGTCACGTGCTCCACGGACTGAGCCGGCCAGGCTCCCACCCCATCCTTTATATAATTTTGTTTCTCCCTGTCCAGGATCAGATTCAGGAACCCTTGTATCTTGTAGTCGTGTCTCTCTAGTCTCCCAATTTGAACAGTCTTCTGCCTCCGTTTGTTTTCCAATTTTGACATTTCTGAATTATTCTACAGACTGTCTCAGTCTGGCTTTGTCGGCTGCCTCCGTGTGATTAGGTTCAGGCCACATTCAGAGCAGGACTGTCACAGAGGTGACACTGTGTCCTTCTCACTCCATTGCATCAGGAGGCACCAACTGTTGATTTGTCCTTCGATTGGTGATGTTACCTTTGGTCCTTTGGTTAAGGGGATGTCTGCCAAGTAGCTGTGCTGGAGAGTTACTATCTTTCCCTTTGTAATTAATAAGTATCTTACAGGGAGATACTTTGAGACCATGTAAATACCCTACTCTTCATCAGCCTCTCATCTAGTTTTTGCATCCAGGATGGTTGCCCACATTGGCTCCAGCACACAAACACCCAAACCCTGTGTGTCTGTTCCAAATGGCAGTAACTGCCTTCTCTGTCTCTCTGTGGCCCACAGCTAGTCCCACGGAACCGAGGTCCTCGCCATCGCCACCCCCTAGCCCCACAGAGCCGGAGAGGAGCTCCCAGGAGCCCTTGATCCTGGCACTGGAGGGCAGCAAGGAGAACCAGCAGCCGGAGGGACGCTCCAGCTCCTCGCTGGGGGGGAAGATGTACTCGGGCAGCCAGACCACGGGGGGCATCCAGGAGATTGTGGCCATGTCCCCCGAGCTGGACACATACTCCATTACCAAGAGAGTCAAAGAGGTCCTCACAGACAACAACCTAGGTACGGGGTGGTGGGAATCAGGTATGCTGCCCTCCTCCCCGGGTTGGCTCTTACTTGCCTTGAGCTAAGTGCCCACAATGAGATCCTGGGGTCCAGGGTCCAGCCTGCAGGAGCCCATCAGCCCACGGGTATCCAGGATCCTCCAGAAGGCATCTGACTCTGACCCTAGAGTAGGACAGAGGGGGGTGAGTACAGGTCTGATGTGACCTGAAATCCTCAGCCCATAGTGATAGTGACACTCTAGCACAATCCTGACCCAGTGCCCAACCCCTTACCCTCAGGGGACACAGAGGAGAACCCTGTTCTAGGGCTCTTTCACTCTATGGATCACGAACTCCTCTGAGTCTCCACTGTGGGTCGTGCCCCTGTCCCAGAGGGATGCACACAAAACCCAGATTCTTCACTACAATTTCTATTGGAAAATTAAGACATGTTCTTTATTTCAAAATACCAAACAGTGCAGAAAAAGAAAAAAGACTAAAAAGTAAGTAAAACTCCCCAAGCCCCCAATCATACTCCATAATTTTTATATATATTTGATTCTTTCTGAAAACATGCAAGAATATATGTATACCTGATTTTTTACATATTTTCTGTGTAGATGAATTTACATGTATACTGTCCTATAACCTGCTTTTTAAAAGTGAACCCTGTTTTGTGGACACCCTTCCACATTAGAATGACCAGAAAGTCTTCTTCCCTGTGGCCAAGTGTTGCAGGCCAGGGATCCCCACATTTCTGACCCATTTGATGGGCATTTGCTTATTTCCAGTTTCCTTCTGCCTCTGAAACCACATCAGTATGTGTCTTTGTGCCTTGAGCAAACACAACTGGAGGGAATTGCAGGGTCAGAGAATATGCACATTGAAAATTTTGATGCCGTCTGTCAGATTACTTTCTAATGAGGTGACAGTAATTTGTACACACGAAGTTTTCTGACCTATTCGGGGATCTCCTAGGAGTAAAGTTTCCTTCACTGAATTATGAAAGCATTTTTGTTGGGAACTGTCAGGTCCCTTACCCCCAACCTCCTATTTTGCAGAAAATTTCCCTCCAAACTCCTACTGGGTGGTCCCTCTGAGTTCATGGAGATGTCCCAGGTTCTCCTCTATTTCTTGTCTCTCCTGGGCACACTGGGCCTGGCCTGGGATAACAGGTTGCCCTCCCCTGTCCCTAGGGCAGCGGCTGTTCGGGGAGAGCATCCTGGGGCTGACACAGGGCTCCGTGTCTGACCTGCTGTCCCGCCCCAAACCCTGGCACAAGCTGAGCTTGAAGGGACGGGAGCCCTTTGTACGCATGCAGCTGTGGCTCAACGACCCCCAGAATGTGGAGAAGCTGAGGGACATGAAGAAGCTGGAGAAGAAAGGTGAGCGCTGGGTACTCTGGGCATGGCTTCAGGTTTTTGCTTTGGAACCATATCTAGTTGTAACCCAAGGAAAGCCAGGGCTCCAAGGATCCCATCTCAGCCGAGTGTGGGCCTGCAAAACACAGCCATCCCCCAGCACATAACTGAAAGCAACCAAACCATTTACTGTTTCTCCCATGAAAACCCCAATACCCCACCTCTCTCAGCATCCTTCCTTACACCCGTAGCTGCTTCGAGGTCTTTTGTCAGCCCCAACCGTGTATTCCCCAGAATGCTCTCTGTCCAATTCCCCTTAGCCTGTCACCCAGACTCTACACAACACGGCACAAAAGTGGCCCAGCAGACAGGAATTCTCCCTCCTGGGGGTGGGCGAGAAGATTGCAAATTCTTCCGTCATCCACTGTTATATCCCTGAAAAACTGAGCCGACATTGAGCACCTGCTGTGTGCCCACCCAGTCTCGTGCTGTGCCAAAGGGAGTCTAAAAAAAGCTCAAGGTTGGGAGGTGAGATAAAACCAGCTGGAAAGCTGTCACCCAGGGCAGCAAGGCAGTACCCGGTGAGGGCGCAGGGCCAAGCCAGGCTGCCAAGGGCACACGAGCTTTTGGCATGAGACAATTCTGCAACTGAGAACTGACCCACCCCTTCCTGGCTCTGTGACCTTGGGCAAGTTGCTCCCTCTCTCTGTGCCTCATGCTGCTTCATCTGAAGAGAAGAGCCTCAGGGCATTGCTGGGGGGATTGAATTACACCCTCTATTCTGAAGCAGGCTTCTCTTCCCCCATTTTGGAGATTTGGGATGGAGATGCACCATGCAGTAACAGGGGTCCATTACATGAATGTCCTGCCCTCGCCCCCAAGACTGTAGTGCCCTTCAGTGACCCTTCTGTCAACCAAGAGAACACGGCATAGCCCCCGGTGTTGAACACTCCCTTCTGTGAGGGTCCAGCCACGCTCTCTGCATGCTAACGACCAGACCAGACGTCAGGGGCAGGTGTAGGCAGACCAGCGTCTCCGCGCAGGGTTTGGAAGTATGTGGAAACCCAGCTTGGAGGGAGGAAAGGATGAGACTGGCATTGTGGCCCTGAGCGTGGGGCGCGAGCTGGGAGCCGCCCCCACCCCCTGCTCCTGCCAACACTAGGGGCCTGGCCTCTGGTCGGCACCCCCTCAGCGCTTCCTCCCCCCGCCCCAACCCGCCCCAGCCTACCTCAAGCGCAGGTACGGCCTCATCAGCACCGGCTCCGACAGCGAGTCCCCGGCCACCCGCTCCGAGTGCCCCAGCCCCTGTCTGCAGCCCCAGGACCTGAGCCTCCTTCAAATCAAGAAGCCCCGAGTGGTGCTGGCGCCCGAGGAGAAGGAGGCGCTGAAGAAGGCTTACCAGCTGGAGCCCTACCCCTCCCAGCAGACCATCGAGCTCCTCTCCTTCCAGCTCAACCTCAAGACCAATACCGTCATCAACTGGTTCCACAACTACAGGTGCGGCGCGGGGCGTGTCCGCTGGGAGGGGGGCGGTGCCGGCGCGACCCGGCCCCATCGCAGGCCCAGGGGGAACCCAGCTCGGCCTGTGGGCGGGTGGGCGGGGGGTGCGGGGACCATCGCAGCCCAGTGTTTAGATTCAGAGTCAGGCAAACCCGGGTATAAACCCCAGTCCCAGCATTTCCAGCTGTGAGCACCTGAGCGCGTCGCTTCAGCTCCCTGAGTCGTAGTCTCCTGACCTACAAAATGGGAACCATATTGGGATTTGCTTCCTGGATTTGAGGATTAATTCAGGGGGCTACCATATTTACAGAACATGCTGGCCACATGGTACAGGGTAGCTGATGATATTGGTGTCACCTGTCTGAATTATTGCTTCAACCCAGTTTGCATTTGCCTCTGTGAAGAGGCGGGGAATGGTGTTGGGGGCACAGGCCCGAGAAGCCCTAACTACCCACTGAGCCTCATATGGGAGCCCTGATTTGGGGCTTCTGGCCTCTCCCACTCCTGAGGCCAAAGGAGAACCCTCAGTCTCCTTAGTCTCGCCTGCCCGGGGGAGTGGGTGATTCCTATTTCTGTGGCTACCTCCCATTCATTGCTCCCTAGTCTTGGGGGTCACTGGTCTCTAGTGGCTGAAGTTCCTGGGAGTTAAGTCCCGGGGCTGGCTGGGGGCGGTGACTGGTTCAGCAATGCCCAAGAAGATGGCAGAGGGGCTTTCTAAGCTCAGCAGAGAGCCCTGCGGGGAAGGCTTGATGGGATTCCGTCTCTGAGCCTCCCTCCCCAGCCAAGCTTCCTGAACGGGAAGGGTCTCTGGTGTCCATGCAGTGCCAGAGAGAGTCCCTCCACGTGTTCTAGGGGGCCGGGAGATGGTTTCTTGCTCCCCAAGGGAAAAGAGGAAGGAGGAGCCTGGAAAGGTGGAACGTTTGAAATCTCCTCTCCACAGCCCAGGCCAGGGCACCTCAATGATTTGAGCTCAGTCTCACCTTGGCTGTGTGTTCTTGGGAGAGTCACTGTACTTCTCTGAGTCTCATCCCTGTTTACAGACAAGGCAGACAAGGAATCTAATACCCCACAGTGCTGAATCAAGGAGTGAATGAAAAAACTTTAGACATAAAAATATTGTGAAATATTTCTGCTTTTGATCAGACTCAGGGCCTTCCAAACAGCAAATGACATAGGTCCCTAAATCCTCACGTCCTCCTTCCCTACCTGGGTGATATGTGGATGTCCTCTCCCTTCTTGTTCCTCGTACGAACTGAGCACTCCATTTTTATCCAACATATTCATCCAACAAATAGTTACAATGTATGCACACTGATCCAGGATCTGGAGATACAGGGGTTCAAAGCCATCATCCCGGGGCGCCTGGGTGGCTCAGTCAGTGAAGCGTCACCTGCTTTTGGCTGAGGTCATGATCTCAGGGTCCTGGGATCAAGCCCCACATCAGGCTCTCCGCTCAGCAGGGAGCCTGCTTCCCCCCCTCTCTCTCTATGATCTCTCTCACTCTTACTCCCTCTCACTCTCAAATAAATAAAATCTTTTAAAAAGCCATCATTCCTGCCCTTAGAGAGTTTAAAATTATGAACCAGATAATTTTACTACAGCCTAATTACTATAGAACAGGAGGACTAAGGGGCTGAGGGAAAAGGAAGTTCTGTCCAGGGGAGACTCCACAGAAGAGGTGGCATTTGAGCTGGGTTTTGAAAGATGACTAGGAACTTGCACTGAGGAGCAGAGAGAATTCCACTCCCAAAAGAAAGAAACTGGTCTCAAAGAGTTAGAGGAGAATATATCATTTCATTTTATAAATGTTTACTGAGTACCTAGTCTGTACCAGGCACTGACGAGAACAAGACAAAGTCCTTGTCCTTCCCATCTCCTACAGACCAGCAGGAAAGGACACTATTACACGAGCACTCGTATTAATGCATCATTACAAATTGCAGTGAACTCTGGGAAAGGTGAACGACAGGATGTTTCGAGAATAAATTATCAGGGAGCGGAGCCTGGGTGGCTCAGCCAGTTAAGCATCCAACTCTTGGTTTCGGCTCAGGTCATAATCTCAGTGTTGTGGGATTGAACCCCATGTCAGTCTCTGCACTCAGAGTGGAGTGTGCTGGAGATTATCTCCTCTCCCTCTGCTCCTTCCCCTGCTCCTGTGCACACACATACATACTCTCTCTCTCTCAAATAAATAAATATAATCTTAAAAAAAAGAAAAAAGAATTACCAGGTATACCCTGGTATAGATTCAGGAGTCAGGAATTTTATTTTTAAAAAAAGAGATTAAAAACTAATTTATACTATGGTGTAAATGACTATTAGCCTCATATTTATATCTGTTCTACAGTTTGGACAGTCTAATGCTGGAACCTCAGACATTGAGCCATCCTAAACCCCCCTCCAATCTCACCTCAGTGGAACCCACGAGGGCTCTCCCTGATCCCAACAGCTCTTCCCTCTTCTAGAGGAGACTAAAGGTGAAGGTGGAGTCCCGTGGACGGTGGACTAAGGCCTCCTATGTAGAGGGACTGGAGACTGAACCAAATAACCCCTCAGAGTCCTTCTAGACCCAGGCTACTGAGATGGGACCCCCATCCCCAACCTGGACAGGGAGCCAGGGGACAAGAGAGTGTAGCCAGGTCACCGGGTTCTCAGCCCCACTGCTTGCCCTGTGATCATACCAATCCTTGTGCCTCTCTCAGTCTTGTCTCCTGTATCTAAAGGAATGAGACTAATATCCTTTTCCTAAAGTTATTTTGAAAAAATAAATGAAATAATCTGGAAAAAGCACTTGTCATGGTGCCTGATGCATGATAAGCACCTTTAGTGTGATGTTTATAACTTATAATCGTTAGTATTACATATCAATCACATGTACTTTATTATTAATATAGACGGGCAGAGGGCCACAGCAGGTAGCTGAGGAAGCCCTTCTGTTCTATAACCCTGAATGAGTCATTTCACTTCTCTAGACTTCCTTTGCTGTCAGGAAAATAATGACTGGGGTTAGTCCCAATCCTGGTTTGTCGGCTCTAAAAACAGTGTAAGACTGAGTTGCCCTCCAGTGGCAGGGAAACCACAGAAGTGAAGAGAGGATGAGTGGGTTCTGTGATCTCTCTCACTCTCTCTCTCTCTCAAATAAACGCCGTGGTGACCTGTACAAGTCACTCTTCGCACCTCAGTTTCCCCTTCTGGGCTGATGTCTAAGAGTCCCCACAGGAAAGAAGCAGAGACATGTTGCCACAACCCACATCGGGTTTGGCTTCAAGAAGTGCTCTAGACTACTGCTGTCCAAAAGAAACAATGCAAGCCACATGTGATTTGAAATTCCCTAGGAGCCATGTTAAAAAAACCAGAAATATATGAAATTAATTATAATAGTATATTTAGCCTAATGTAACAATTTCAGTGTGTAATCAATATAAAAACTTTACTAATGAGACCTTCTACTTTTTTTTTTGTATTAAGTTTCAAAATCCAGTGTGTATTTTAACCCGTACAGCACACCTCAGTTCAGACTAGCCACATTTCAAGTGCTCAAGAACCACATGTGGCTAGTGGCTCCTCTACTGGACAGCACAGGTCTAGATCAAGAACTTTGGAATCTTTAACAATCCTGAGTTCAAGCCCAGACTCCACACCTACTGGCTGTGTGAGGCTTGCTTCCTCTTATATGAAGGAGGGTTAATAACAGCACAGCACCCACGAGTAAGGCTGTTGACAGGACTTACTAAGACGCTGCATGTGAAGACCCCCCCCCCACGGAAAGTGGGCGGGGTCACAAGGCCACTTGACTGGATGGAGTCGGGGGTTAGCTGGGTCCCCCATCCAGCCCCTCGCTCACCACCATCTCTGCCCCAGGTCCCGGATGCGCCGGGAGATGTTGGTGGAGGGGACCCAAGACGAACCAGACCTCGACCCTAGTGGGGGTCCTGGTGTCCTACCGCCAGGCCACTCCCACCCAGACCCTACCCTGCAGAGCCCCGACTCTGAGGCTGAGGACCAGAAGCCTACCGTGAAGGAACTGGAACTTCGGGAAGGCTCCGAGGAGAGCATCACACCCCCGACCCCCCAGGACAAGGCCCAGGTGAGGATTAAGCAGGAACAGACTGAGGAGGATGCAGAGGAAGAGGCGGGCAACCAGCTCCAGGACTCGGGGGAGCCAGACAAAGGCCACGGTTCCCCCAAAGAGGCGAATCCTGACCGTCCGGGTAACGACAGACTCCCTAAAGTGGCCCCGGGGCTCCTCCTTCCAGGCGGGACCACGCCAGACTGCCCCTCACTACAGCCCCCCCAGGAGAGCGAGGGCGGGGAGCGGCTCCACCCGGACCCTCTAAGTTTTAAGTCGGTCTCAGAGTCCTCGCGCTGTAGTCTGGAGGTGTCCCTGAACTCACCCTCAGCTGCCTCCTCACCGGGCCTCATGATGTCTGTGTCACCCGTCCCCTCCTCCTCAGCCCCCATCTCCCCATCCCCACCCGGCGCCCCTCCTGCCAAAGTGCCGAGTGCCAGCCCCACCGCCGACACAGCTGGGGCTTTGCACCCCAGCGCCAAGGTGAACCCCAACCTGCAGCGGCGACATGAGAAGATGGCCAACCTGAACAGCATCATCTACCGGCTAGAGAGAGCTGCCAACCGGGAGGAGGCCCTGGAGTGGGAGTTCTGAAGGCAGGGGCGTGAGGGCGCGGGGCGTACCAGGGGGCCAGCGCCCCCCACTCTCGCTCACTCCCCCAGACGGGGTGGGGGAAGGAAGGAAGGAACTCAACCATCCAAAAGGGGACAGCAGTGGTATGCAGTTTACGGTTTTTGTTGTGATCCTAGTTCTCTGACGTTGTGAGTGAGCGGGCGGGGCAAGTGCCACTCCCTCCTCTTTCTGGCACCCCCAGCCCCACAGAGCACCCCCTTCTCTACCCTGGCCTCTCTGCGGGAGGCGGAAGCGATGTGGCACCACACGTTCACCTGGAAACTCCAAACTCTTTTAGAAAAATAAATATTTATAGACCTCTTTTAGATATTTTAATAAAGGATCCTTTGGAATTTATTCCCAGCCAATGCTGTTTTGATATTACAGAGAGTTATAAAATCAGGATGCTGTCACAACTGTTGCGAAGTATACACTGAAGTTGTGTCGTTTTTGCCACTAGATGAGATTAAAAGAAGACAATTGTTCAAAGCCATCACAAAACACTCTAAGACTGACCAAAATTTAGATAACCCTTGAACTGCTTTTTTTTTTTTTTCTGTATCTGTCTGTGAGACACAGCACATTGCTACTGCCCTTCCAGAAACCGTGTTGAAAAGAGAAAGTCCAAAAGACTCTAAATGAAAACCTCGATGCCGTTGAGGATGTGTTCCATTCTGCCGGTCTGTCGTGCAGCCTCAGTAACCCTGAGCGTCCCGTGCTGTCGTAAATGTTGTAGAGGTGTGGGCCGTGGCCAGCCCTCCTCCCCAAGACGTGACGTGGTACAAAACTGCTTCCTCGCCCTCTCGTCAGAAACCTGGGGGCTGCCAAGTTTGGACACCCAGCCTGTCCATCTCTAGACAAGATGTGTTTCTGGATTCTCCGGGAAGCCAGGCGAGGGGTCAGGTGATTGGAGGACAGCACTTGAGCCAGAATGACCCCGCTCCCCTGAATCGTGGCCCTGGCACAGGAAGTTTCCCCACTGGCTTTCCAGAGCAGGACTGCGGCCGCCATCTTCCCCTCCCCATGTTTTAAGAGAATAACAGCATTGGTCATCCCATGAGCACCCAGCACCAAAAAGTAGATTCCTCCAACTAGAGACCCCAATTCCCCTTCTTGCCATCTTCGCTCTCAAGCTGACCCAGGTGCTGTTTCTGGAAGGCCTCTGCAACTCCCAAGTTAAGGCAGAACAAAAGCAAGAAGGTTGAGTTCACCACAGCATAACCACTGTATCCCAGGCCCTAAGTCTACCCTCCTGCCTTCCGACACATGACCTTCTCGGGAGCGGAGACTCTATCTCCCCAAACTCAGAGGAGCCCTTCCTCTAGAAACTTCGTCACCAGGGTTTCTGGCGGGAGAGTTCCCAGTGTGGATGGAACAGCCACCATATTGGTTTTCGACGCTGTCTCTCTCTCCCGTTTTTATTTCTTTTCCTTTGTCAAACTCTCCGTGGGAAGGCTGAATTGGTGACTCCCCAGCTGAAACCAGAATGATGATGAAAAGGTGGCCACAATCGGTGCCAATCCAGTGCCCTGGGGGGAGATGGCTGAGGGTTTTCAAGGATGCAGCAAAATCCAGTAACCAGAAGGGGACAATTGAGGGCTGTTCCAGAAATCTCAACTCTCATGCACCCAGGCCAGGCTGCAGACTCCACAATCAATGAAAAAGAACACAAACGCTGCAGGAAAACATCCTTTTCCGTACACCCAGGCTATGCATTGAAGAGTTTTCCACTGTATACATTTTTATCCAGATGAAGGTATTTTTATATTTTGACAATAGGAAACACTGACCAATTTTCAGAGTAATCAAATCAGGAACAAACGAAACATCTCCTTTTAGCCACCACCGCCCTGTCTCAATTAAGACGATCGTGAGGGAACACACAACTTTCTACTGTTGAAACCCACACAACATTGAAACCCAGGCTCACCCGCAGACTACAGATCTTAGAGGACTCAATCTGGCTTTTGTGTGACGGGATTTGATTAAGCACTTAGCATATAGTCTTTTGAACACGGAAATCCTGTTGTACTGAAAGCTAGCAGACTCATGAACAACTTTGTCAGGTTCGCGTCCTATAACGGTAAAAACAAAACAAAAACCCACAAAACCGTTTCTATGAGAGATTGATGAACTTTGTTTAAAATTTTAAAAAGAACACGTTCTGTAAACGCGTCGCTCAATACAGAATTGTATAATAATGTCTGGGTGTCCTGCTTGCTTTATTCTAGAGCTGGGGATGCAAATTGGAGGTCCAAGCTGGCCCTCAGAGGTGTTTTACAAGACGTTTTTGTGGGGGGGTGGGGGGACTGGCTTTTAATTAGTTTGCAAACCATTAAAATATGGGGATGTGGGGGCACTTGGGTGGCTCAGTGGGTTAAAATATGGGGACGTGTCACATAAAAATCCTAATTACCGGCTTCTCTTGAAAACTGTAAGATCTAGTCACACTGGACACAAGTTCTAAGGTAACAGCAGTTCCCCCCTTTTAGACAGGACACTTGCCTGTGATGTGCCTCAGTCCTCGCCTGTGCCACCTTCCTGGGTCCCATGGACATCTCTGTCGGCGACTGTGCTATGGGCTCCGGCAAAGGGAAATGGAAGGATCAGATTCCATGTTTGTCCTCAGTGCAGCAGGGTGGAAGCAAGTTAGACTCTGGGCCTGAGATCATGCCTTGCCCCCACATCAGTGGCCACAGGTCATGGCCCCAGGATCACCCAGTGGAGTGAGGAGAGGTGTCCCCAGCCTTCCGATATGAAAAGGCCAAGACGGGCTTCCCAGTAACCAACAGAGCATCGCCCCTTTCCATGCTGTGTAACTCGGACCTTGATTTCCCTGTCTGCGTAATGGGGGTATCACAGCAACCAGCCAGCTCAGGAGGTGGTTATGAAGAACAACCACGCGTGTAAATTATGTTAGTGCGGCACATCAGGGCTCAACGTGACCTGTTCCCATGAGCAGAGGTCGGGTTCTTTCAACCCGTGATGGTGAGTCTCTGCTTCAAGCGGCAGGGTTTTTCTTGACCAGTAATGTCAAGAGAGTCCCTGAGATGGCATTACTCACCCGTGAGCCAAGGCCACATGGTGTCCCAAGACAGACCTCTCCTTTCTGGAAACTTTCCACATGTCCTTAAAGTGGTAATCAAATGATTAATCACCTTCATTAGGATAATTAATTACTCCAAACCCAGCAGGATTGCCCCCCGGGATACCTGAGCACCCCATCAGGGCAGCGAGGGCAGCATCACGTAAGGCCGAGGCCCCCATCCATGGGGGTCCCGAGCTAGCCCTTAAGGGTGACATCTCGGGCGGGGCTGGCCTTTGTTCAGAGTTGGAGAAAAGGATGAGAGTCAAGAGCTCCGGGGAGGGAAGGGGAGAGCAGACCACCTGGGTTCAACCCTGGCTCCATCTATTGGAACCGTAGGACCTTGGGTATAAGCCAAAGCCACTCTGTGCTTCAACTTCCCAAACAGTACAGTGGAAAGAATAATAATGGCAACTTCCCTATAAGGTGGTTGTGAGGGTTCAGATGAGGCAACGCCACGGACTGACTCTTTGGACCCTCGGTTCACAGCTCTGGAAAAACAGAAGGCAGAAATTCCCAGGACATGGCCCCATGGTGGTGTAGGTGGGGGCCAGAGTAGAGAAGAAGCCACATCTGACATCCATAAGCCACCTAAGATCCTGCAGAAGCAAGTGCCCCCGGCCTCTGGAAACTAAAGCTCCATCCTGGGCCATCATCTTTGGTGTTGATATTGTCCGCAGTCGCTGCCCATCTGGAGTGGAAAATGCAGTAAAAAACACAGACATATGGAATGCTGAACTAGGGAGCATAGGTGAGTGGGGGTTGGAGAGACCAGAAAGATAAGAGAAGGCAGGGAAGGCCTTGGAAGAGAGTGGTGGTAGATTCCAATCAGGGGACAGAGGAGACAGAGAGCTGAGTTGGGGGAAATTGGGTGACTGTCCGGGTTATAAGTATTTATCGAATGCCTACATGTGCTCAGTGATCCAATGGCAGAAACATGGGGAACCATGAGAGTATGAGTAGTGAAATCCAGGAAAGCTTCCTGGAGGAGAGGACATCTCAGCGGACACCTGAAATACTATAGGAGTTAGAGGAGAAGCAGGGGCCAGAACATGGGGGAACAGGTCCAAAAGAGGTTGGAACTTGAGATGGGGTGGATGGAGGAAGGATGAAGGTCAGATCCCGAAGCCCATTGGGAAATATGCCTTTCCACTGAGGGTACTGGGAGCCATGGACGGTGTGAGGCAGGCAGTTGCTGTGTTCAGACTTGCATTCTTAGGAGGTTAGGAGGTTCCATCTGCCTGGGGAAGTGGCAAGCCAGAGGAGAGAAGCAGGCCCACCCCTACATAGGCCCTGACCCTCAGGCCTCTATGGCCCTTGCTTCCTACTCCTGCCCCCCTTTGGATACTAGTTAAACTCCTGCCCTGGGCCAACAGCCCCACTTCCCATCACCTACTGGTGAGTGAAGAAACCAGACCTCTCCTGGCTGATTAGCCCATGACTGCCAGGCTGGCTATTCTAGAGATCATTCCAAAGGCCAGGTTCTCAGGGAGTCTGCTTCTCCCTCTGTCTCTCCCCCTGCTCTCTCCTCTCTGTCTCTCCTCTCCTCTCCCCCTGCTCCTCTCTGTCTCTCTCTCTCAAATGAATAAATAAAATCTTTTTAAAAATAAATAAATAAATAAAGATTAAGACCAGGCTTTCCATAGCCAAAGGCACAGCGTATATGCTGCTGTAGAATCTAGGCGCTCTTTGTGGGCACCCTGGAGGCTGACGTCACTCCTGTAAACCCAAGAGCAGTAGGGAAGGGGCAGGGAACAGCACCTTGAGTGACCTTAGCCAAGGTGACTCCTCACCCCAGATCAGGTTCCCATCTGCCACAACGAAGGAATAAGACTGCTGGTTTCATGACCTTCTCCAGGCCCTCAGGGTGTTGTTAAAAGCACTGGTTTTGGACTTAGCCTAGCCTGGGTTTGACTCTCCACTATCAGGTAATCTAGGGTCCTTCAATGAGACTCAGTTTCCTTATCTGTAAAATGGACCAGATCATAGTAGCATCTACTTGTGTTTGCTGCCTCTTACCACACAACAATGCCAAAACTTAGTGGCTTAAAACGGTAAATGTTTACCTCTCAGTCTCTGCTGGGTCAGGAATTTAGGAGTGGGGTAGCCGGGTGGTTCTGGGTCCTGGATCCCTCATGAGGGTACCAGGAAGCTGCCAACCACCGGGGCTGCAGTCTCCTGAAGGCTGTTTTGGGACCGGAGAATCTGATCCCAAGATGGTGCCCTCATGACTGGCAGGCTGGGGCTGGCTTGTTGGCTGAGGGCTTCTGTTCCTCTGTCAGGGCTGCTTGAGTGTCCCCACAACACGCCAGCCAAAGGGGAGCAAGGCAGAGGCTGCGGTGTCTTCCGTGACCCAGACTTGTAAGCCCTACTGTCACTCCCACGGTATTCCCTTGGCACACAGGCCTGCCATGACTCAGTGCGGGAGGGGACAACACAAAGGCACGGACACCAGGAGGCAAGGCTCATCAGGGCCCATCATGGGGTCTGGCTACCACACCACCTTAGAAGTTTTCTTCGAAGATTAAATGAGCATTTCCTACGCTGTGGCCCTCAAATCCCTGTTTCCTACTCAAAAATGCAGGTTCCTGGGCCCTGCCTCCAACCTCCTGACCCAGATTTCTGGGAGCCAGGGCCCAGGAATCTGCATTTTTAAACCATGCCCACCCCCTGCAGTGACTAGGACATCACAGGTGTCAGCAGATGGGAGGAAGAGCTAATTTTTTGTGTTGGCCCCACTGGGTGTGCCAGGCCCCAGATGCTGGTGAAACAGGAGAGCCTGGGTGTGTGAAACAAACATCCGCTGGGTGTCTTGGCATAATCGGGAACGGCTGTGTTGAGAGCAATATGGATCCTCTTAGAGATGTGCCAACGGTTTATTGGGAAGATCAGGAGAAGACCCTGTGAAATCCAGAGGCAGGAGTTTCAGCCAGGCTTTGGGGTACCAGACGGTCTCTCTCTCTCAGACCCCCTCATACCTGAGTCTGTTCCTCCAAATTCAAAGTTCCTAGGACCCTGCCTGGCTCAGCCCGCGTCTGAGACCAACTCCTGCCTGGCGACCGTAGTTGGGGAGAGAAGAATCACGTGAGTGAGCTCACGGGGCACGGGAGGCAGCGATTGGCATCTCAGTGCCAAGCCCTGGGTGGGTGCGCACCAACAGCAGAGCTGATCCGCACCTTCTGGAAAGCCTGGGTGCACTGCTCTGGATCTCGGCCCCACAAAGGAGAAACAACAACAGCAGTTCCCCCGAACAATGAAGGGAGTGCAGTGGCAGTGGCCCCAGCCTGCAAGTGCTTCCCAAACCCCTCCTGGTAAGAACAGCCATGGCCGTGGCCCCAAGTGCGATCAGACCAAGCCAGCTCGGACCCCTCTGTCAGGAGCAGAAAACGGTCTTGAAACCTTAAGTGAAAAAACAGTTCATGGGACCCACCTTTTAAAACGTCTTCATCAGGAAATGCAAATTTGGAGTTGGGCTTAATTAAGGAGTTTATCATTTTTCTGCTTTTGAAGAGTTTAATTTTAGATGCCGCGACTTTAGAAATTGGGACAAGTAGTAGGAACTTTTCAATAACCAAGTTTGTGTAACATGAGTTAAGGTGTCTGGGGATGGGTTGGGAGGAGTGGACAGTTGGGACAAAACAGCCCCTCTTAGAACATATAAGTACAGTGCTATGCTTTCAGTATTTGTTCGCTCCGAAGAGGAGATGGATGTCCCAGGGAATACCACCCAGCACTAACCTTCACCCCACTGAGCTGAGAACAGCCCTACACTTGGTCATCTAGAGCCATGCTCCTTAGAAGGAACAGCTACAGTCATTCAAACTTACCTGTTAGGAAGCCTCTGGCTGCAAAAAAAAAAAAAAAAAAAAAAAAGTACCACTCAAACCTTTAAACAAGAACATTTAATACCTCAAATTACTAGATGTCCAGGAGTAGGGCAGGCTTCTGGTCCGTTGATTTGTCAGTTCAAGGATATCTTCAAATATGTACAACCCAGCAGGGCATATTTTCCTTAGTGTGGCCTACTCATGATCACAAGATGGCTGCCACAGCTCCAGGCATCAGATGTAACCTATCCCCAGAGAGCAATGAATTGCTTTTCATTGTATCTCTTTTTAGAAGCAACAAGACCCTTCTACTCACATCTCCTTGGCTGAAATTCAGTCACACAGCCATTCTTTAGCAGCTAAAGTCTAGCTGATCCCTGAAAGTCAAGCGGGAGCAGCACAATTAACCATTTAGGGTAGATGGATGTGGTCAACCAGCCCATAGCTTTTGGCCTGGTTGCCGTCCTTGAGGTTCTCACCCCTACCCCAAGTGGCTTCTCAGAATATCCCTCTGAATATATACAATATCCCCCCAAAGACTGTTTGGTAAGGACAATTTCCTCTACTTTGTCCTGCTTCTGGGATGTTTTACTCATCCTTAGACACATGCCCCAAACATCCCCCCTCGGTCTGGCGGAAACACTGACATACTAGCAGGTAGATGTCCAACGCTCTGGTATGGACCGACTTGTCTCCCCTTCCCCTTTCAGCGGGTTGCAAGGAAACATTCCAGCCCTCAAAAGCCTGGCACGTGAGGACACCCTTGTGACCCTCCCTCTTGCGGCCGTATCTCTCCTGCGACTTCCCCCATCCTACAGCCCAGGCCCTGCAGAGACTGTGGTCACAAACACCACAGGGAGCACCCTGACTCAGCCTGTGTGGGGAACCACTTCCCTGGCTCCCATGTCAGCTGTGGTCCCTGGAGAGGTGGGAGTAATTACTCAGCACATCCTGGGTGCTCACGGTGGCATGATTCCCTGACCCTCATAGTTTTCATTTCTTATTCATGAACTTGTTCAGAGGACTGAGGATGGAAGGTTGCTCATCCTAAGCCACATTTTCCTGAGTGTGCACAGTTTTTCCAGGCTGGCAAGGGAGACACGTGACTCAAGTTCTGAAACCACATTAGGAGGACCTTGGGCCAGCCCCTTCCCATCTGTGAATCCCCCAGTAGCCCAGCAAACAAGCTCGAGGAGTCTTGTTTGAGCACCACCACCATCCACCCTGTGCTCACAGAAGACATCACTCATCACAGGCTCTTCCTCTCTGAACCAGCATTGATGTCAGAATTCTCTTCCAGGGCCCTAGGCAGCCACCATGAACTGATCTGTGGGAAGAGGCAGGTTTTGACTCTTCCATCTGCCATCCCTGATGTCCCTCCCAACTGTCAAGCCCTAGCCCACAGTTAACTTTTAAGTCTTCACCTTTCCCCCTCCTTCCTCTCCCCTCTGAAAAGGAACTTTGCAACTCCACCCCCCGCCACCACCATATTCCTCTGGAAGGCTCTGCCCTTCTTCCACAGGATTCTAGGTGTTTATGTCCCTACTTTGACACTTTACAGCTGTGTGAACTTAGCAGCTTTCTCAACTCGAGTCTCAGTTCCCTCATCTGTAAAACGGAGCTGTTATCTGCTGTAAGATGTTGAGAATGTGCCAGGCAGAGCATCAGCCATGGGCACGCAGCATCTACTAGTCGTTTCTCCTGTAGGGTCTGCTCTGCAATGAAGGATTTTGATGGGGAAAAATGACACAATCAGTCTTTTTTTTTTTTTTTACCAATTTTTTTAATTTTAGCCTTTACATGCCCCTCCCAGGCTGCCTGATATCTCTGTCCCCACCCAACTCTGGAGGCAGCCTGACCCCATCTTGTGCTTTTTTTGGGGGGGATGGGGTGGAAAAGGGGACCAGTGGTAGGCACTGTACCTTTACAGAGCTTGTAAACCTGTACCAGGATGGGGGCCGACACCTCACCCCACCAGCTGGGTCTGGCCAGTACATGGGCTCTGGGCAGATCTTAACATCCCTGGAGACCCAGAGCCTATAGACAACAGCAGCCATCCCTACCCCCTCCACTCGGGACTTGGAAAGGAGGGGCATGGAAAGCGTAGGAACACCCCAGAGGCACCTGTCAGCGGAAAAGGACGTGTAGAGACTGGGAAGAAGGTAGAAAACCAGGTGAGATTCTTGAGGTGACGGTCTCCAGCCCAGGCTCCTGACCCTCTCCCTGGGAGCCGTGCCAACTGCCCGCCGCTGACCCTCAGCCAGCCCAGAGCTGGGGCACCTCATCCCCTCCCACCAGCTAACAAGAAACAAAAGCAGTGAAAACACCAGGCTCTGTTGCTGGGGGAAAAACACCCTAAAGTATTAAAAATTAAATTAAAACTGAAGCCCCAGTCAACTGAGCCAGCAGTGAGCTGGTGACTGCAGACACAGACACCCCCCCATTCTTCCCCGAGCCCCAGGGTCTCCAAAGACAGCAAGAAGGGGCCTCAGGACCAAGGCCCACTGTCACCAAGAGGGACCCTCTGGGGAAATACAGCTTGGGGCATATGTGTCCTCAGGTGGTCCCCAGTGTGGGGCACTGAGGACTGTAAACAAAACCCAGCTTGAGGGTCAGGGGTGTCCCAGCCCCCCGAGATTCTCCCTGGAAGAATGGCCACTGTGGTGAGTACGTAAAACAGCAGTCGGCCTTGAAGCAAAGCAAGACCTGGTCTCCCCCTCAGAATACTGGGGGTGGAGGTGGGCCAGGACTGTGGAGTGAGGGGCTTCCAGAAGCCAAACACAGCATGGCAGCTGTTTCTTTGCAGTACCAGATCAGCACCCAGGCCCTTTCTGGGTGGTGAGTCAGCTCCTGGCCACCCATCCCTGGGGAACCCCGCTAGAAAGTCAGCTCAGGCCACACCTGCCCAGCTCGGGGCTGGACAAGGTCAGGCGAGCTCCTGAGAGGCCCCAGCCCAGGGTGGGGCAGAAGACCCACTTCCGAAGGAGACTGAAGTATGTGGTTAAGGAGTGTCGGGAAGGCATGTGAGAACCACCACAGGGACACACACATGGCCCAAACCAGAGCGCCGCTGCTGTGCCAGCAGTACCTTGTCAAGGCCTGGCTGAGTCTCAGGGCAAAGTCCTGCCTCGGCCCCCACTGCAAGCCAAGAGCCCTGGGAGCAGGCCATGTCAGAGCACCGGCCGCGCGTGAAAACGGGGCGCCTGCGCGGCCTTCGGCACCTGCCTGGGGAGTCAGGAAGGCGGCCTGGAGCCACGGTCAAACCTCCAGGCCTGGAGCAAAAGGTCAAACCCAGGTGTGGTGCTGCAAGGTCAAGGCTTCTCTCTGTCCACGTCCAGGGCCAGTCCCAGCGGCCAGAACCAGGGCTGAGTGGGCATTGCCTTTCAGGCCCCAGATCCTCACGTGGTCCCAGTCACCCCAGTGGGGGCCTGTTAACAGCAACAGGCCTTTGCTGGGTGACTCCGGCCGGCTTGGGGCCAGAGTTCCCTGGATACCAGGACTCTGGCTTCTTGAGGCTCACCGAGGCCCCGGAGGCTCCCTAGAAGCAGGTACAGGGCCCCCTTTGAGTCCCACAGTCCTAAAGCACCCCTCGGAGCCGGGTCCCGGAAACCAGGCCACCCTGACTTCCCTCAGGAACCCCTCCACCCTGGTCTCCCAGGGCAGCGCCTGTCAGAGCGAGGCCTGGGGCTGGGGTCCCGCTGGAACCAGCTCCTCCACCACTGGGGTGACGTCAGGGCTGGGCCCGGTTCCTGAGCCACTGGCTCCTCAGCGCCCTCACCTCCTGCCCATACAGCTCGTGCAGCTGGGCGAAGGAGCCAGCGCGGAGGGGCCCGTTGGGCGCCGAAGCCCGCCGCCGGGGAGGGAGAGGCGGCGGAGCAGGGCCCGGCGGGGAGCCGGCGGCCGAGGCGCCCGCGGGGCTGGGGGCGGGGCTGGGGGCGGGGCTGGCGGCCGGGGGCTCCGCGCTCCACACGGCGCAGCCGTTCTCCTTGGGCGGGAGCGCGCGCGGGCGGCGCGGAGGGTGCGGACAGTCCCCGGCCCGCATGGCGGCCAGCTGCTGCTCCAGCTCGCGCACCACGAGCCGCAGGTAGTCGAAGCTGGCCCGCGACAGCGCCTTCACCCAGCCCTCCATGGCGGCCTGGCTCTCGGCGGCCAGCACGTAGGTGCGCGCCCGGGCCCCTGCGAAGCGCACAGCGAAGGCGAACTCCTCGGCGGCCTCCACCAGCTCCACCGTGCAGCCCTCCAGGATGATGACGCCCACCGGCTCGCGGCTGGCCGGGTCCTCGAAGTAGAAGAGCATGTTGCCGCGCAGCACGAACCAGCGGCGGTGGTAGGCCGCGTGCCGGCCGCCCTTCTTGTACAGGAAGCCCGCGTTGTCCACCGGCGCGTCGCACGTGGCGTAGAAGGCCAGGCTGCGCTCGTTCAGCTTCATGGCGGCCGCGCAGGGGCCTGTCCCTGCTCCCCAGGACAGCCCGCCGTGACTCACACGGCCACGGCCACCAGGTCCCTCCCCGCACCGCGCCTCGCTGTGACCTCACTGCCACCTCACTGCCACCCTCGGCCACCTGCGGCCCTCAACGCCTCCCCACCCCCTCACAGCTGAGGAAACTGAGGCTCCTGGAGCAGAAGCGGCCTGGCCACGCTCACGCAGCTCTTCAGGATCAGAGCCAGGGCCCAAATGCAGGGCTAACTAGCCCCCGAAGTCTCCCCAAGGTAAGGTGGAGCGTAACTACTGCAGGCCAAGCATTTTGTATGTATTAACTCATTTCATCTAGCAGCAAACCCCCGTTGGTAGGGCCTCGCACCACCCCTATTTGACAGGTGGGGTAACAAAAGACGGAGCTAGTTGCTCTCAGACAGTCACAAAGCAGGTTGGGCAGAACTGAAATTCAAACCCAGGCCTCATCTCAGGCCCGGAGGTTTTCAGCATCCCCAGAAACCAGACCGGCTGTCTCTTTGTGGTCCCTTCCACATCCCAGCTCCGCTTTTATAACTGGCTTTGATTTGCCTATCCCTGGAATGGGGATATGAACAGAACTTAGTTTGGAAGGCTGTAGGGCCTTCACTCATCAAACTTCATTCATCAAATTTGTTAAGGACCTTCTATGTGCCGAGGACTGCTCCAGGCACGAGGAGTACAGCCATAAAGGAGAGAGAGGGTCACTGCCCTGGTGGCACTGACGTGCTAGTGGCAGGGGAAGAGGGCAGACCATTAACAAACAGATAAAGGTACGTCTGCGAGGTGGTCTTCAGTGCTGTAGAAAATAAAAAGAAGGGAAGGGAAGGGGCCAAGGGTGTTAGGGACCAAAGGAATGTTTGACTTTAGTGGGAGTCAGGAAAGGCTATACTGAGAAGGTAACATCTGAGCAAAGACCTGAGGAGGTGAGGGAGGGAGCCCCAGAGACATATCAAGCAGAGGGAAGAGCAAGTGCAAAGGCCCTGAGGTAGGAACCTGCTACTATGCTTGAGAAACAGCCAGGAGGCTGGTGAGGCCAGAGCAGAGGGGGAAGGGAAGAGGCAGAAAACACGTTATGAAGTGATCCAGATAAAAGGCCCAGGGCTTGGCCCACACTTATAGGAAAGGGATGCGGAGCACATCTAATACCCACTTAAAGCAGAGGACTCTAACTCTATACCTTTGGCCAGTGATTTTTATCCACTTTCCCCCAAAGAGTACATGATGGGGGCAACACTGGCCAGACGGGATTAACTGGGAGGTGGAACCTGGGCCCCCAACATAGCCATACCTTCCCTTGGAGTATTTCATGGACAGTTTGTTTGGGATTCACAGCCCCACTCTGCACAGGACAGTAGCTGTATTTTTCAAGAGGCAAAGCATGTAAAGTCCCTGGATTGCAGAAGGTACTCAATGAACGTTTATTCCCCAGCCTGGGTGGTGCCTTACTCAGGGCCTGGAGGAATGAGGTATGGCTGGTGACTCTCTTGGGAGCATCTGCCAAGCCAGGCAACCTGACCCAGAGCAGAGGGGAACGACTGCTCCCAACTGAATCCACCTCATCTAACTTGCCTGAGCAGTCAAGGAAGGCTTCCTGGAAGAGACAACACGAGCTATGATTTAGTAGCGGAGATCAGCCTGTCTTGACCTAGCAGTGGGGCCAAGGTCAGACAGAGGCCCTGAAGGCTCAGGGCATGTAATCCCTGCTCTGCCTACCTGAGCTGAGTGACTTTAGACACAGGCTGCCCTGCTCTAAGCCTCAGTTCCTCTCTCTGCAAAACAGGACTCATGCGTCCTTCCTCACACCCCAACAACTCCATGTGGACCCTGGCTCCATTTTGCACAAGAACCACCCACCCTACCTGCCACATCGCCCTCCTACCTCTCAGGCAACCACTTGCCTCCCTGCCCTCTGCCCAGTCTGGTGTCGGCTTGCTCTTCTCTGGGTTCAAATGTCAGCTCTGTAGTGTTCAGGTCGTGTGAGCCAGGCAACCTTTAAGCTTCTCTGGGCCTCCTTTTCCACATCTGTAAGATGGGATCATGACAGCACCTACATCAGGGTATTGCGATGTGACAGTGACTCTGTAGAAGGTGCCGAGCCTGGTGCTGGACACACAGTACACCCTCAGCAGTGGTAGTGTTGATACTCTTCTCGGCCTCACCAAATGCTCCCCTCAGCACTCCGCCTCCCCACCTCACCCCCACTGTGCACTGATCAAGCCCAGTTGATGCCCCCCCCAATCCCAACCCCTTCCAAATCACTGGTCTAATATCTCTGCCCTCTACCCCTTCCCTGTCCTCCATCCCTATCGTCACTTACCTCACAGCTGCCATAGCTTCCTGGTCGTCTCCCTGCCTCCACCCTTGCACCTTCCCTGTCCTCTTTCTTCAGGGTAAGAGCCAAACTCCCTCCTTGGCCCCTCCCCCTGGCCCCACTACAATCCATTCCCCACCGAGGGATCCTGTTAAGAAAAGTCCAACCACACCCCTCCTCTACTCTAAACACTCCCATGACTCCCTGCTTGTCCCAGTATTAAATTCAGTCCTACCCATGGCTTCCAAATGCCCTTCCCCTCCCTCTTTCCCCCTTGCTCATTCAGCTCCAGCCTCCAGAGCCTCCTTGCTGTTCCCCAGACACACCAGCCTTTGCCCTGGCTGTTCTCTCTGCCTGGAATGGCCCTCTTCTATTTTCACATGGCTGACTTCTCATCCTTCAGTGTCAGCTTGACCATCAGGGAAGCAGTCCCTGACCACCCTGTACTCAAGAGACACATACCCCAGTCACTCCCCTACACCCCAACCTGAAATTACCTGAGTCGTCTCTGCCTACTCTGGGAGGGCAGGGGTTTCCTGCCTGAATTCCAGTGCCTGGCATTCCAGATGCTCAGATACCTGTGGAATGAATCAGACAGTTATCTTCTGATATCTCTCTACATCCCCAACCCACATTCATAGATGTGGAGAAGGGAGACAGAGAGGTTAAGTAACTTGTCCAAAGGCACAGTGCTGTGCCCAGAGTCACATGCTCCAGGCAGCCAGCACAAAGGGGCTGATCCTGAGATGTCCCCACCCCATTAAGACCCAAGGAAGAGCAGTTTCCCTCATGGCTCAGCAGCTGTCCCCCTGCTGCTGCCCAAATGGGGCCAGCCTGGCCCACGATCACCACCCAGCACAGAACCCCACTCTGCCCATGACTCTTGCCTCCTCCAGCCCAGGAAAAAAAAAAAAAAAAAGAGAGAGAGAGAGCAGGAAACAGAAGGGGTGCAACCTCCAGCTCCTGGGAGGGCCTGGTCACCCACTTATCTCCTCACTCTCGTGCTGTTTTCCAAGTTCAGAGTCCACTCCGGGTACTGCTGTTGATTCAACAGCCTTTGGCCAAGCAGGAAGCTGGAGGGAGCCTGGCCTCTCTCTGGTCCCAAGGCCAAGTTCTCTCCTCCATCTAAAAAATGTCATTTCTCCTTTCCCAGCCTGTTTCCCATCTGCCAAACGGGCTGTGGAGTGGGTTGGATGGGCTAGAATGAGGAAAACCCACTGGCAAACTCTGGGAAAGGAACCGAAAGCACTGCCACTGGGAGTCGGGGTGAGCCTCATCTATAAAGTGAGAATATTAATCTCTATCCCTCTGGGAAGGATTGAATAAATCCTGAGAAGTCATTCTGCAAAATGTTTACCAGGTAGTGAGCACTCAGGAAAGAAGCTGTCCAAAAGGCAAATTAATTAGTTCAACGTCTCCAGGGACACAGCTGGCCCAGAATCCAGGACTCTGGGGAAACTGAGGCATGACATTTGGCATTCAATTCAAGAAGCCAGACCGCAGGTGCTGAGATTGAATCCAGCTGCACAAGTGTCCCCAACAGTGGGCATGGGGGAGAGGGTGTGGCAGGTACAGACAGAAAAACGTGCTGAGAACCCCGAAGAAGAGGGCCTCTCCAAGACCAGGGGCCACAGAGAGCCCAGGGCCCCCGCCCAGGCCCGAAGCAGCCCCACTGCCCATTGCAGAGGCTGCTTCTCCAGGTCTGGCACTGCTCCTGGCTGCCCTCTGCTCCTTTCTTTGTGTCTGGTGTGTTCCTTAAAGGACAGCCAGAGCCCAGATGAGGTGGTTCACCGCAGAACGTGGGAACCAGAGCTCCACCACGGGTGGAGGTCGCTTATGGGGCGGGGTCGGCGGCCAAGCTCGGCCGGCAGCCGGGGTCCCCAGAGGGTAAATTACCAGTGGCGTGTTATCGCAGATGGGCAGCTCTCTCCAGCAGAGGTCTCCCAGACAGCCGGGGATCCCGAGGCCCACGGCGGTCCGAGCCCGGTCTCGCGTCCCCTCGCAGGGCCACCCGCAGGTCCCCCCTCGCCAGGCCGGCCTTACCTCGCCGTGCAGCCTAGGGAGGTGGCGGCAGCAGCGGGACGGGAGGCGCGGGGCCCCGGGGCGGCCCAGCCATGGCCCGGGACCCGCTGGGTGGCGGCGGCAGCGGTGGCGCTTTGTCTCCTGGGTGGCGGGGCTGGCGCAGCCGCGGGAGAGCGCCACTCAGGCGGAAGGAGGCGGGAGCAGCCGGACGGTCCACGACCCCCGGGCGCGCCCCTTTAACCCTTCGCAACCCACCCACGCCGGGACCGCCCCGCCTTCGTCCCGCCCCCGGATTGGCCTGCCCCGACTCGCCACGCCCCTGGGTTCGCCACGCCCCCGCTGGCCGGCTCCCGAAACCGCTCTTAAAGGGACCGCGCCTAATTCCCAAATCCCCAGTGCCCTATCCCAGGAAAGAGGCCTAGGCCCTGGACACCGCGCGCTTCTAGGGGTAAGGACTGGCGGCGGATTTGCAGGGGAAAAATCATCTGGGGTCGTGGGCGAGACCAGGTCCTGCAGCCCTAGGCCTGGAGACGGAGCTCTTCCCTGACTAGCGTTGCCAGATTTAGAAATTTTAGCTCCCAGCCGAATCTGAAAAACAACTCTTCTAAAAATTTGTAATTTATTTAAAAAAAAAAAAAAAGGCAACAACAACCCGAATACAGCACATTTCGGGCGTTTTGACAAAGTCAGTCGAGAACTGTATTATATAAACAGGGTGCCTGGCAGCCCTACCACTTGTCCCAGTGAAGAGGGAAAGTCCTGGAGTTGGGTGGGCATGGGGTTCGGGTCCCACTGAGCCGTTTGATTGCTGTGGGCCCTTGAGAAGTCAGTTCACGACTCTAGGTCTCTGTTTCCTCGTCTGTAAAGTAAAGACAGTGAATATAAAGTTCATGGCACACAGTAGGTGCTTTCAGCAAACAGGAACTGCTGTTCTTTTTATTCTACCCAAAATAACATTGTTCTACCTCCTGGACCTTTTTTTAATTTCTGGCTCTTGTTGCCACCCTCCAGGACTCAGTCATTGTCCGGTCCTGGCCTGAGGACAAGAGAGGACCGGGACAGACCAGGATCATGTATTCGTTCTACAGCCCCTTACTAAGCACCTACTATGTGTCAGGTGCTGTTCCTTATTCAGTCAACAACTGAGTTCTGGAAGTGATCTGTGCTAGGAAGACAGTCAGCCATAGTGAGGTAGCAAGAATGCGAGTGAAACTTTAGACAAGATGCTCAGAGAAAGTCTCTCTGAGGAGCAGAGACCTGAATGAAGTGAGGGAGAGAGACATGTAGATGTCCAGGAGAAGATTGTTCCAGGCAGAGGAAACAGCACATGCAAAGGTCCTGAGATTAGACCATCCCAAGCATGTTTGGAGAACAGGGAACAGACCCAGTGGGGCTGCAGCCAAGCAGGTCAGTGAAATAATCGTAGGAAATGAGGTCAGAGAGTATTGGTTGAACCAGATGGCTTAGAGCCTTGTGGATCATAAGATTCTACTTTTACTCTGAGAAGAATGGGGAGCCATAGGAGGGTTTTGAGAACAGGAGAGAAACATGGTCTGTCTTGGGTTCAACATGGTCCTGGCTATTGTGAGGAGGATGAACTACAAGAAGAAGGGTAGATGCAGGAGACCTGGGTAGATGCAGGAGACCAGGGAGGATCCTATTATATTAGTCTAAGCAAGTGATGGTTGTCGCTTAGAGCAAAGCAGAAGCAGTGGGGGGTGGAGAGGAGCAGTTGAATTCTACGGCTTCCCTGATAGTGAAGCCAGCATGGGAGAAAATAGGACCAAGACCCACAACATGGAGCGAGACAGATACCTAAATGCATCTGATAGTGACTGAACCCCTGAGTCCACCTATGCCGGATGCTGCCATAATTCTTCAGCCAGGAAAGCCTAGCCCAAATTTCTGCAACTGTAAACACTCACCGGATTAGGAAAATGCCAGGCACAAAGGTTTCTGGGTCTTGATGTGGGGAAATATTCCCGGAAGTCTGTGAACCTTGGTTCTCGGAGCCCCTCATGCTGCAGTTGGGGTTTTCCATGGGTGAAGGAGGCAGAAAGCAACCACCTGGCATCTTTTTTTAAAAAAATTCCTCAATATTTATTGTAATTTTAATTGAGGTGAAATTCATGTAACAAAAATTAATCATTTTATTTATTTAAAAAAAAATTTTTTTTTTTTAGTAATCTCTACACCCAACGTGGGGCTTGAACTTACAACCCTGAGATCCAGAGTTGCATGCTCCACCAACTGAGCCAGCCAGCCAGGTGCCCTCAAAATTAACCATTTCAAAGTAAACATAACATATAGCACGGTGAGGGACAGCTGGGTGGCTCAGTCTGTTAAGCGTCTTCCTTTGGCTCAGGTCATGATCCCGGGGTCCTGGGATTGAGTCCCACATTGTGCTCCTTGCTCAGTGGGGAGCCTGTTTCTCCCTCTGCCTGCCACTCCCCCGCTTGTGCTCTCTCTCGCTGACAAATAAATAAAATATTTAAATGCATGTGTGTGTGTGTGTGTGTGTGTGTGTGTATACATACATATATAGCATGGTGACTAGTTGATAACACAGTTTGTATAATTTAAATTTGCTAAGAGAGTAGAGCTTAAATGTTCTCACCAAAAGAAGAAAAAAAAACAAAAAAGAAATGCTAAAACACATTGATGATGTGTTAACTAGGGGAGAGGAATCTTCACAAAGTTTATATATGTATCAAATCATCACAATGTACACTTTAAATGTCTTACTTTTAATTTGTCCATTATACCTCCATAAAGCTAAAAATAAAGAAAGAAAAGAAAAAAGATAGAGCTCCGAGCTTTAAAAAGTCACCAACATGGGGCACCTGGGTGGCTCAGTGAGTTAAGCCTCTGCCTTCGGCTCGGGTCATGATCCCAGGGTTCTGGGATCGAGCCCACACATCAGGCCCTCTGCTCGGCAGGGAGTCTGCTTCCTCCTCTCTCTCTGCCTGCCTCTCTGCCTGCTTGTGATCTCTGTCTGTCAAATAAATAAATAAAATAAAATTTAAAAAGTCACCAACACAGGGGCTCCTGGGTGGCTCAGTTGGTTAAGGGTCGTACTGTTAGTTTTGGCTCAGGTCATGATTTCAGGGTCGTGGGATCGAGCCCCACATCAGACTCCGTGCTGAGTATGGAGTACCCTTCAGATTCTTTCTCTCTGCCTCCTGGCATGCATGCTTTCAATCTCTCTCTCTTGCTCATAAATAAATAAATAAATTCTTTTTAAAAAACCATCACCAGCACAAAATAAAAGAAACAATTCAGTGACATTTAGTACATTGATGATGTTTAATCACCAACACTGTCTAGTCTCAGAACATTCCTGTCACTCCAAAGTAAAACCCCACAACCTTTAGCAGTCACTCCCCTTTCTCCCCTCCCTCCAGCTCCTGGCAACACCCAATCTACTTTCTGTCTTTTTTTTTTTTTTTCATGGAAGTGGACTTGACACACAATGCTACATTAGTTTCAGGTGTACAACATAGTGATTCAACAACTCTGTACTTACGCTCTGTTCACAG